CAGTTTAGATCCATAGCTTTGATGACACATTTGAGGTTATGAGCAAGTTTTTTTTTTTTTAACACAAGATGCTAAAAATGGAAGGGAAAAATAAACCAGGGGGTAAAGTGCACTTCATCTGCAATGAGGAATTTCAGAGGTCTGGGGCTCTCAGTCGTCTCATTCTCTTCCAAGAACACTTCTCCTTCCTGTTTCACCTCTGGCATGCCGCCCAAAGTACCCACAAACCACGGAGGCCAAGGCCGAAAATACACAGATGGTAATTTGCACTACATTTCAATACGACTCAACCGCCATTATATATAGCCCTGCTGCCTGAACCCCTGCTCCTCACTGAGAGTATCGCCTCACCTCAGATACCAACTGAAAGATGGGCTCTTTATGTCTTTGTCACAGAGTACCAGTTGGACGGGATACTAGATATAGTTGGGAGTTGAAATACATCAGAGTCTTCATAATGTTGAACATGAACCTTGATCAACACAGGAGGATTCCCCCCCGATCAAGACATCATGTCAAGATAATTAATTGCTAGAGGGCTGTTTAATGGTTTAGCTTACTCTTGCGTAGAAGAAAAATAGTTTTGCAAGTCGCTAAAAGTAAAGACCTTGACGACTACTATGTAATTGACTACATGTTTATTGTATGTGGAAGGAAGTACTGCAATAAGAGCACAGATTGTCCAATGGACACTTTATTTGAACAGGCCGATTTTAAAGGAGTGGTTTTACTTACCAACACAGGGCACAGTTCTTCAAATGTAAATAAGTTACCTGCTCCATCACTTTGCTTCAGTGATCACACATCTTGCCCATACCCTTGTTGGTTGTCATGTTTCATCAACTTCCTAATGGAAAAACACGATGGATAAACTTTGGAGCAATTATCATGTTGCTCCTGCAAAAGAACAACAGCATTTAACAGATTGATGGTGTATAATATTATGTGAAGGGTGGGTGGGGGGGGGTAAATGTCTGCAAGCTCCCACACATCCAGCTGGATTTATTTAGAGCATCTGTGTTTAATTTATTTATTTTTAATATTTGCATTCCCAGTTATGGAGACAGAGGGAAAGGAATGAAGGGAGACGTATACAAGAAGGGGCAAAAAAAAAGCATGTGGGTGTGAAAGGGATCAAGCAAGTGAGAGATTATGGAAAAGTGAAGGGAAGTGATCCTCATCCAGTATATCTCAATTAATGGAATTACCTTCCTCCTCAGGAGGACTGTTAGTCATTTGCAGAGACGTGAGCCCGCCAGTAGAGCGTCTCTCCCACCATATTGTCCAGCAGGCGCTAATAAGGCAGCCCTGACCGCCGGGCGTGCTCATTAGCATAGCCCGCGGCCGTGGCAACCCCTGCCAGGGCCCAGCCGGACACTTAATTACCGCCGTGGCTCCTTCTTCGCTAAATCCGTGCTACTGCCTTCCTTCCTATGTCCTCACCCCTTGCTCTACCTCCTTAACCCACCCCCACAGACATACACACATGCACACGCCACCACCTTCCCAATCATAGCAGGGAAGATGTAAGACTAATCATTTTGGCAATATAGATGTGATGGCTTTAGTCTTGGTATGTTGTGGCAGTCTTTTTTTATGTTCTCTCACTTTTTATGGCTTTGCGGTCAGCGATCTTTGCGATTTTAGTGATTCCTCGACCTGCAGTACCTCTCTTTAGCTCGTGCTCCCTCTCTCTTTGCCTCTCTTACTCTCATTGCTATATTAGCTCATGGGCATGACTCTCATTTTGACATCAGCACAGTATTGATGCACCCCTGTCCAGCCTTAATCGGCTAATGGCCTGCTCTTCTTTCCTGCCCAGCCAAATCATCCCCTCCCTTAACCATCCTTCTATCTGTCCCTTCCTTCGCCTTCCCGTCTCCTCTCCCCCTACCCTGTTCAGGCCTGGGGTCAGTGAGGCCAATTTTCATGCCTGGCTAAGTCACAGAATAGCTTTGTGTGTATATGTGTGTGTGTGTGTGTGTGTGTGTGTGTGTGTGTGTGTGTGTATGAGAGAGAGAGATAGAGAAGGGAATATGTTAGTCAGCAGCCTCACACAAGTCATGTGGTGGGTGACCTCATGACCTACCTTTACTCTAGTCCCTTGCTCTTCCCTTTACCAGCGATCATTCTGTGTGACAAGGAAATCTGGCTGACTCCTGTACAAAACCCATATGTATGTGCATGCGCACACAGGCACACACACACAAACACACACACACACATACATACATGGCTACCTCTCTGACCTAGAAAAGCCACGGCCAAAATAAGCCTGCCAAGTTCACAAATGGAGATTGTTGACAGCACTGCGTGGTGAAACAATGAACAAGTACACTACCTGTAATGTCCAACTGTTTTTAGCTGTAGTTACAGGCTGTGAGTCTCTTTTTTTGTGACAGGTTAGCACAACACACAAGTTTCCAAACACTAAGTCACAGAGGTGCTACATCAAAATATTTTTAGCTACTCGGTGTACATCTGTGTTCGATCTCAAGGCAGTTTATTCTAGCCAGTCTCGGAAAGCCTCACGGCCCTCTCTTTATGTAGCCTCAGCTTGCACTTTGACTTGTTATGGCTCTCTCTTTGTCTATAATGTGGTGGCTCTATACATCTCTGTGTCCCAGAGAGAAAATCCCCCTCCACTGCACCACTGAATCACCCATGTGTGAGTGATAACAGATCCAGACTGCTGAGCACCCCGCAGCTGTTTGTCTCAACATGCAAGTCATCCCCGCCATTACACCGCTAAATGGTTCCCTTTCAGTGGCAGACGCTTGCCGCCTCGGCCCGTATCTCCATGCCTCCATCACTGGGGGGTTGCAGTTACTGCCAGCCAGCCACCGTACTAGAGGCAAAGCAGTTGTATGTTTGTCAGAAAAAAATGCAGTGGGGGGAGGACTCTAGCATTTAAATCAGATTCTCGGCTGTGTAGTTTAAACGTATGTATGCACGTGCATATGTTTGTCCCCATGCGTGTGGTGGGCATACAGCAGCGGTCGCGAGTACAGAGTTCAGGCAAAGCCCCCTTAGAGCTTGGGACGGAGACCATGACCTTGGGAAATGTCATTCCGCCTACGGGGTGCTTCGCCTGTGACACACAAAGCCATGGTAGTGGAGTGCATCAGTGCACTGTAGCACTCTGGCAGAAGCCTAGTGGTGTAGTGTTGCGTCCAGTTGCACCTAACCCTGAGGTTTAAGAGTGAACCTTGGAAGCAAGAGAGTTCAGCCTCAAAGCTGAGACCCTGGGTCAGCAATCTAGCGATTTCCCTCTAACCACATTACAGCCATTAGTGGCTCTTGCTGCTTTTCGCATGTCACATGGAAATGGGTCAAGCCCTGCCCTGCATGACTCACTGGCTCTTTCTCCCTCTCCTTCTCTTTCTTTCCTGTTAACCCTACTCAGGTGGCAAAAAGGCTTCAAAGGAGCATAGGACATTGGGTTCACAATCAGTGCATTATGGCGTTTTCATTCACCTTTACCACAGTCATAACAAATGAGAAGGGTCATGCATGCTGTTTATGCTCGTCAGTCTCTTACATCTTGCATTGTTTGTCTAGCTGAAGTCTATTAGACGTGGGTTTATAGACAGTTTGGAAAGCCCTAAGGCCAATATTATAACATAATCCGTTGCGTTGGCTTTTGGCATCTGACATTTTCTGTCAGCTCTTGGTTATGTTTTACTAAAAAATAGAAGATGGAAGTGTGTATGTATGAGACAGAGATGAGAAGATGTTATTGTGTGTAAGCCGTGTTTGATATCTGTTGCAGCAAGAGAGTAGCGGTCATAGTGGGTTGTGATCGTGGTCACCTTTGTGGACCACGGTGAGCCATGCTGGCCAGATGTCAGCAAACTCTAATGATCCCAACAGGTTGCTGGGCTGGGTTGCCTGGCAACCGTTTTGCCTTTGCCTGTAAACACAGAGCAGACCCACCAGGCCTCTGTCAGGGTCGCGAGGGTGAAGACAGCTTTGGTGTCCGGATATATGTATTTTGGTGTGTGAGACATTTAAAATAATTCTTTCATTGCCTCATGTTTTCTGCAACTGTATGAGTGCTCATTTATTTTGCAGAAATCTCAGCCAATTCCTTTTTATCAGATGTTTTGTGAGGTTGTGTACAGTAACCCAAAGAGGAGGGAAAAAAAGTCAGTTTTGACATTTTGCTTTGCCCAGGCTTGGTGCTTTTGACATATTCTTATGGAGGTTTGTTAATATGTATCAGGAATATTCACTTTTCTTTGTTCGCCCTTGTCTGGCAAGCTGTAATGTTTTGCTTATGAATATTGATACATGAAGTGTATATTAATGACCCTTGGTGACCTTAACCCTATCCTTATTGGCTCCCCGGTGGTATCTGCAGGCTCATGAATATTAATCTAGTTCTGTAACCTCCATTACCCTAATCTTTGCTGTCTAGCCTCCCAGAAGGACCCGTTGTCATGGTAACCCCTTTACTAGACTCTTCGAGACCAAGGGTGGGAAAAATATGGTTAAAAAAGGACAGAAAAATCTAAATTACTCAAACATCTTGGATGCGCCTTCGTGGAAAGCTGCCATTATATAAGAAAGAGGTTGAATTTCTGTTGGAAGTCATTTTAGTGGTCTCCTTGCTGAGCACTGAAGTGTATTTTTGCAGCTCTAAGTGGCCATTTGATTTGGGTTTGGCCAGGCAATTGCGTTTATGAACGCTCAAAATCGTAGTCTCAGTTTGGCTTCCACTAATTGCTCTGCAATATCAGACAAGCAAGGATGGGAAATAAAATTGAATAGTAAATAGTAATTTCCAATGTTAAATCCTAGCTGCCGTCAGCCAAAGGCTATAACTATGCCCTCCACTTAACTCTTAATAATAGTTGTTCAAATCTTATTTAGGATGCTCATGTTAGTTGAAAGATAATGGCCAGTCTAATTGTTCACTCGCATGAACATGGCGATATCTTTGTCCCAATACTTTTTGTTCCCTCACGGTAAATTGCGTGTTCTCTCACTTCTTCCAGATGTGGACAGCAACGAGGATGGGGGGCCTGATGACGGTCCTGTGGAGGAGGAAGGCTGGTTTGGGAATGCTTCTGACACACGCTCAGAGTCGTCATCCTATGGAGACACCCAGGATGAGCTCCTCCTGCCCCAGGGCTCCTCTCCCGATGAACGGCCTGGAGTCAGCACTGGGTCCGGGGACCAAGATACCTGTGGAGGTGAGAGCTCATTGGGTTGCCCCACACCCGTCCATCGTGCCTCTTTGGAACTTCTTGGACTGGATGGAGGTGCATTCTCGGCCCAGGACACACTCTCTTCTGTAGTATCATCACTGTATGGTGAGGCTGCATCTCGTGCCCTGGGAAAACCCCTCAGCAGCAACCTACGGCGCCTCCTAGAGGCTGGGTCGCTGAAACTTGACACTGGGGAGCTCCTGGGTCGGTCATCGAGGGGGGGTGCTGGAGGAGAGTCTCCTCCAATAGGTCTAGCCCCACCTTTGACCCTCTCCCCGTCTTCCCACCATGCCCAGCAGTTAAGTGCTCTTGCCCGAAAACTGGCCAATAACAATAACAGCGGCTCAGCCTCACCAGCCTCCTTGGCACCCTCAGTCACCAACATTAAACAAGAGCCCCTTGACCCCTTTAACTCTGTCACCCCTAGCAACGGCAGTGGCTTCGTATGGGCAGGTGTTGCAGATAAGTGGCCACCGGCCAGCTGCTCCACGCCCTGCGGCTCCAGCCTGTCCCCGGACTCTGCAATCCAGAAGTTAAAAGCAGCAGCGAATGCTGTACTTCAAGACAAGAATGCCGTGGCCTCCTCAACGACTTCTTCCTCCTCCTCCACCTCTGCCTCATCTGCAGTGCCCGCCCTCGGAGGGGGTGGTCGAGGAGATGATGTGGTGCGCTTTGATGCCTTCAACTCTCCGTTCAGCCCACAGTCAGCTAGCTCCACCCTCGCTGCACTTTCCAAGAAAGTCAGTGAGCGGAGCCAAGCCTCGTCAACGGCCAGTGCTGCTCCTGACCACCAAGCCTCAGCCAGTTCCTTTCTCTCACTTGTGTCAATGACCTCCTCTGCTGCCTTGCTCAAAGAGGTGGCAGCCAGGGCAGCGGGAAACCTCCTGGCAGAGAAGAAGGATAGTTCCTCCTTGGCGTCTGCTGGGGTCCTCCAAGAGGATGTGAAGCCCCTGCTTGACAAGAACCAGAAGGCTTCCACACCCAATACACCCACCCAGAGCCTGGAGTTGCTATTGCCCTCTACCCCAAAGGGCAGAGGCAAACCCAACAGCCAAGCAGGTAATCATAACACATAGCAACAGTAATACTACATCAACAAATTAATGATCACACCAATACAGATAATAAGAGTAGACCTCAGCTTAGGTTAATTTTTTTTCATATTATTCCAGTTAAAAGTTGTAGTTTTTTTCCCTTTATTGAGGCACAGTCACAAAACACTAAAACATATTCAATTGTTGCCTTGACTTAAACACTGAATCAGGCTGTTTAAGCTCAAACAAGGTTGCGACAAGGAAAGTAAATGTCCTTATTTTTTGTATAGAAGAAAGAGACTACGAAGGTTCAAGAACATTTAATTTCCCCTTTATTTATGGAAACTTTTCATCAGCCTTCACCAAGCCCCTTTCTTTTGAAAAATAATCGTGCAAATGTACCTGAAGTTCAAGAGAAATATTTCCCCTATCATTATACTTCTTCCCCATTCAGCATTTATCAAAGCAGTAACACCACTTGTGTCATGCAAATGCAAATTAGAACTCTTAGTACTAATAAATTAGAACTAATGTTAAAATAGAAGTGTGACTCCAAAAAGATTAAAACAAGTCTTTTGTGTGGGGGAGTAGCAGGTTTACTTGTCACCAAAGTACGATCAGAAAAACCACAATTCTGAACTTTCATGACATGTTTTCTCTAGTTTTGTAATGGTTTTGTTCTCACCTCACTGGCGATGAAGTAGTGGGTAGTGTAGCCTCAGCTTAACTGTCAGCCGAGCAGAGAGCATAGCCGAGAGAAAACAGTCCTGGCTGGCCTTCTAGTCTGGGAAATGGTCTGTGGGCTCAACGGGGGGTTCCGACTGAGACCTCGCTGCCTTCCCAGACCAGCTCGTTTGTGCTAGGATGTGCGTGCTGCCAAAAGGGGGCCGTCAGTGTGTGCTCGGCACAGTGGGGAGCCCTGGAGTCCATATCCATCTCGGCAGCCTCCTCCTGGCTTCAACCCCCACTAACCAGAGCCCTCTGCACTGATCAGCACAGCAGACTTAAGGCCAAACACATCATACTTTCCACTGACTGGATACAGATGCGTGCATGTACACTCTCTCTTTCGCTCTCCCTCTTATGCTCTCTCTTTCAGTTACTCACAAATGGCCATGCAGTATATTCTGCAAGTGTGTACTCTGATGTAGACACATAACCCAAACAAGGGTGCACACAAAGATCTCACTCTTGCACAGGGAGAGAGAAAGCTTCAAAGTGCAGGCTCTTACTAAGTAGCCTTTAGGGAGAACAGAATGTTTTCAGGGAGATGGATGGGCACTTTTGAGGGATTGTGTCGCAACCCCGCCAAATCTAAAATGGCTGGATCAAATTGACTTCAGACAGATGAGGCAGTCGATGTAATATTCTGTGATCTGCATGCTAAAAAGGGGGTCTGCTCTAACCCGTGAGCCGTCAAGGTCGAGCAGCGCTGTAAAAATGCAGGTAGTTGTTTGGTCGCCAGACTGAAAAATGTGACCTTGATTATTGACTGTCATGTCTTGTTTTATTGTCGTCCCTTGCCAGTTCCACTATAAAACTGTATTGCATGGGTATGTTGCGCACTTGGAATGTAAAAGCCAAGCTTACTCCCTTTTTCTAAAACATGGTTGTGATTACATAGGGAACAAACATGTTAAACACGAAAATGAAGGTACTAAACTTACACACATTATTTCTCTCCTGATTTATTTCCGCTTCACTCAGCTCAACTCAGAATAAGCAGAAGTCATTTTTGCATTGTGATCTCTGCTGTGCTTGGAGAGGTTGGGCCGCAGATGGCGGTTTATTGTTGCAAATAGGCAGTCTCGAGGTTTTACACCTCAGGTCAATGAATGGCTGAGCACAGTAATTTCACCAAACACTGATTACCAGATGTTTTTCAAGGAACGGCACTGGAATACTTATGAAGCCATCCTGACAGTCCCTTGTAGAATTTGTAATGCAATCATGCCTCTTTCTAATAAGACCAATTAAACAGTAATGGATGCCGGATATGAAGCCAACAACAATAATCGAGATACTAAAACATGCTTGAGTTTTTACTTCCATTGTTCCATTGCTTCCAGCTGGCATTTCCCTTGATAGTTTTCACCGTTAGGTGTGGAGTAGTTGTCTCTTCCAGATCTGTGAATACTGTAGTCTGTATTTGGAGAGGCATGCTTTTTTTTTTTTTTTTTACAGTAACAAAGGTTTCAGCTGCATAGTACATATTTCTACATACTAAAAGACTGATGACTGGCTTTTAAAATTCTTTGAATTATTTTTGTAAATGGTAACAATGTTCTGTGTCTTCAAGGCTCTCCCGAGGATGGCGGCAAACCATTCCAGTGTCCTGTGTGTGGACTGGTCATCAAACGCAAGAGCTACTGGAAGAGACACATGGTCATCCACACAGGCTTGAAAAGCCACCAGTGTCCCCTGTGTCCCTTCCGTTGCGCTCGCAAAGACAATCTTAAGTCCCACATGAAGGTGAGACCATATCGGTTTTCTTCATCGTATGACCCGGCACCTCTTGTCACCCTCACTTGCATCATCTTTAATTAGATGCTATTATGGCTCTTGGCATATAATTGTTAACATTAAAGGATACACATGCTTTAATTAGACTTGTAATATATCCACTACATGGCATAATTAAACACTACTGCATGTTTGTTATAGCACCTCACTTATAAATTTGACTGAAATTAAGCAAAGAATCCCATCTTTCCCATGTTTCCCATTCCTTTGTTGTCCTGTAACGCCAGAGACAAGTAGTGATCTAACACATATACCTGTCCTCTTTTTCCAGGTACATCAGCACCAGGACCGAGGCGAGACATTTCAGTGCGAACTTTGCCCCTTCACCTCCTCCCGTCACTTCAGCCTGAAACTTCACATGCGCTGCCACCAGCACTTCCCCCGCACAGACGTCAAGGTGAAAGAGGAACTCACCACCGACACGGAGGGCGAGGGCTCCTTGATGGGTGACAGCGGCTCCGGGGACCTGAGGGGGACGGAAGTGTCGCCGCTGCATTCAGACACTCGGCAGCAGTCATCGCCTCCGGTCGAGGCTTCCTCCAATCATGTCCACATCAAGGAGGAGCCGCAGGAGAGAGATTTGTCTGTGCTCTCCCCCTTTAGCATGTGCAGGGACCGTCCCAGCAGCAGTGCCAACTCCCTGGACCTACCTGGAGTTGGGGTAGGAGTCGGGGTCAGATCCAGTCCCAGTGGTCCAACCACAGCCTCACTCTTCAGCCCTGACATCAGTACCAAGACAGCCACTGACCTGCTTATGAAGCTGTCAGGTTAGTTTTTTTTATATACATATTTTATAAAATGAAAAATACAATTTACTCTACCATTGTAACAAACAATTAGTTTAATTATGCAATAATCTGCTAGACTGTTTGCAAGGCACATAATGACGTCTGAAAAAATCTGTTTTTTTGACCAACTAAAAAAATCAAAGATTTCCAGTTTGATATCACAGAAGAACAAGAAAACCAGGAAGTATTCACATTTCAAAAGCTGCAACCAATGCATTTTTGGCCATTTTTAGATTAATTCAGAAATTACTTCAACAATTGACTGATTAATTATCACAATAGTTGACTTTTTTTGTTGCTAGACTGATTAGGTAATCAACAAATTGTTTCAACTCTAATTCAGTCAATCCATATATGTATATTTTTGCCAACTTGGGACCCTGTGTATAATGGTACCAGCCTGTAAGAACAGCAGTGTTAGTTTTTTTTAATTGCCTATAAAAACCCACCAATGTGCAGTATGTACTGTGCTGCAGTTAAAAGTTTCTGCTGTCCAAATACAGACAGATTGCGTCGAGTAATATGGTTTTGAGAAATACATAGAAAAACAGCTTGCACAGACACACTACCAGCTTGACTCCTGTAATCCATAATTGTTTTGTTTATTGTGCTGTTTTCTCAACTTGACTTTGCAACTCCAGTCATTGCAGTTTCATTTTCATCAGAAGTATTTCACTTCTTCCAGACTTGAACGTGAAGACATCTGTTCTGATCTTCAGCTAGATGTTGTCTCCCCTTTTCCTTAAGTTTTTTGTTTTGATTCTTCACTGTCACCAGAAATAACGCTCGTAAGAAGTGTAAACAGTTTTATGTTTATCGTTTCAGGTCAAGGCAGCGGTATGTTTCTGTGAGCTGTTTTTAATGGATTTTAAAACAACAGGAGCCTAAAATGTCTGGGAGTTAGTTCAAACATTTAATGAATAGACAGTTTTAGCTTTTGACAGTGACAAATACATTAAGGTGTTTAGACTTTTTGTGGGTACTAATATAGGAAAACAATGCATAAGCCCACTGGTGTTTTGAATCGAAGTAGTTAACACAACATCTGCCAAATGACGCTGCGTGGGTCTTAGGTGCATCTCCAGACACATATGTTTGAGCTATTGTTTTTCATACTTTAACTATTATTGTGCATATTGAGGATATCTGGCATGCCTTCACTTGTAAACAGGGTTATTCACAACCTGTTTCTGTGTCTTTCCCATGAGTATAGAAAGGAAAGTAGGCCATGGACTTTTAGCCTTTTCAAGTACCACTTGCCTTTTTTTAAACTGGTTAGGACAAATACCCAAAAAATTCAAAAGGTGCCCTTAGAGAACTGATTTGGATAAGACAAAATATTGTATATTTGACTCAATAGATCAGGGTTATTCTCATTGCGCCTGTAAGTAGCCTTTGCAACAGCAAAAGTTGATATTATTAAAAGTTGATATTTAACAAGCATTGAAAGTTTGAAGAGACACAGTAAAGAAGTATTTTTTATAGCATAACAAATAACAAAAGGTGTTTATGATTCAAATTTTAGCAGAAGACTGTCTTGCCAGTACACATATAGTGCATATATATATATATATATGTGTGTGTATATATGTATATTGTTACTGAAAACCATTGCAGATTAAAAGGCTTGAAATATCCCAGTAACATCCCACAAAAATCTGCTCAGCTGATCCAACACTGGGATCAACACAGGAAGGATTTCACCCCCGAGATCATTCAAAAGATGACACATCTCAATGATTGAGGCTCAATCCACGTACAAATGGTGGATACTGTTAAGCCCAGCACATCTATCCGATTTTATTGGCACCCTCCTTGTGTCATGCCATCTCTGTGTACGACGAATGTGTGTTGGAATAAGAGAGGAGACATTCTTAGCATAATAACAGAGCATTCTCAGGCTGCTTACTCCTTGTTGGTATGCTTGGAATCGGATATTGAGCTTTGTTCTTACTTTTTAAAAGTAAGGCTTAAGTTGCTCCATGCCTCTAAATATTGCTTTGCTAAATGGTCAACAGAGCTGATTCATTTTTTTTCTTTTTTTCATCAGTTAAAGTGCACCTCATGCGGTAACAGTGTATCATTGGGTGTACCTTCATGATTGGTAGCAGCGGAGTAGAACATGCACATAAAAATCAACTGAAGTGCCACTGTGCAGCACTAAAGTCATGACCTAAATCAGAGCGGTACAGTATGTTCATATCTAATCCTGTAGATAAATGGTCTGTATTTGCTTTAGAATGTCATTACGATACCCAAATGATATTACATTCTTCTGCCATTTATGAGATTCTTTATCCATCCAAGGATGAATGCTATGTGATACGTTGCTTCTTTTGCACATAGTTAAAATGACACTTGACGTCTGCCCAGTAGTACACCCTAAGTCCTCTGCTGTTGGCCGCTGATTAGCGCCATTGAAGCAGTTGGGGTTTCAATGATTTGCTCAAGGGTTCCTCGACAATCGTTGAGGGATTAATTTTTCTCACCCACATCTTGTCAGTTGTCAGGAGAGTTGAAGATCTGTAACCTCTAGGCATTTTTCTCCTGCTAACAATTCTCTCTGTCAGTGTGTCACACAAAATGACACACAAGTAGAAGAAGTCGTTCTGGAGTCCTGCATTAAGGGTGGTTTACATAGAGCTTCTGTGCTTTGGTGCAAAAACCCAATCGGTTTCCCAATTCTTGCCCTTTTTTAAGACTTAAAATGTATTGTGTAATTCAGTATGGTAAAGTTGCAATTGCTATGGAAGGTTCCTAAGCTTTATAACACAATGATACAGCATTATTTTAACAAAACTTGACAAACATGCTGCTCTAAGGTATACTAGGTCCGGACCGTGTTTAGATGCATTTCACAATGTTGCAAAATATTAAAGGAGGAGCTCGGAGACGATGGCAGGATTGATGGAAAAAGGTCAACCTAGGTTCAGCATTGGGGTCGAGGCTACGGCTGCCACTCTTCCACTTAATGCTGTGTAATTAGATTGAGATCTTGAGCGAGGCTGGGAGGAAAAAACCCTGGGAACATTAGATTAATTAAAAATTTATGCATAATTCATAATTAAAAAGGAATTCATAATTTGAAATGATTAGCGCCCTCAGCGCCATCCTGTGACCCCGCCAGGATGCACGGGGACTGGGCCGGCTTAGTTAACTCCCCCTCGATCTCGCACGCCCCGGCTCCACATGGATGCCCCCTGGGTGCCAGTTGCACTTCATTCCCAGACTGCACAATCAAGCCCAGGCAACTCCCAGAGGAGCCAAGATGGCTCCTCGCAATGTCAGTCCAGTGTCAAGTGGCGGACATCTTACTCAGGGCATCATTCAAGGAGAATGAGAAAGGATATAAAAAGACAGGACGAGAGGATGTTGAACTTGAATGCATGATGATGGGTTTAAATGAATACTGCTTCTTTGATCAGGAAGTTCTCCCTTTGTTGGGGGGCGGAGTTAAAGATGGAGGGTTATGAAACTGAGAAGAACTGGGCTCAGATCTTTGTGAGACTTACCCATGCCACAGAGCAACCAGGGAGGGAGAGGTGAGGAAGTTCCTCCTGGGACCTCTAGACTCTATTTCTTTTGACCTCCCTGCCAACCCAGATTGAATGTGTACACGAGCAGCTCATCCCTTCTGCTTTTACACTGCTGTCTCAGTGCCTCAATCCCACAAGACCTGGGAGAGGGAGGGGTTGGGGGGGATAGGGGGTGTTTAAAAAGCTGGAGAGGGAAAGATAAAAAAAAAAAGAAAAGAGACAGATAAAGTGACAGCAAGTGAGGGAGAGGGAGAAAGAGGCAAAGAGGGAGTTGCATTGAGTTCCCCAGGCATTAAAAGCCAGTGAACTCTTCCTGACCTCTGACATAATAAGCATATCATTTTTTGGACTGCCCTGCTTTCCATTGAGTGTTATACTGATACCCTTTGATTTTTATCCTTGCACGCTGACACAACCGTTAGCTATCCAGTGTGATCCACATTTTGATTCAGAGATGAAAGCCACCGAGGCACTTTGAAATGCACAGCCCCTACCCTGTGCCCAGTGGACCCTGAGTTAATAATGACAGTGGGCACTGCACACCCTCCAAACACCACCCGCCACCCCCCGCTGTGGTGACACAGGCACAACGAGCTTGACCCTGCCTGGGTGTGAATAATTGGCATGCAGGGGGTTGTGGGAGGTGTTGCATCTGTCATGATGCTTGTGCAGTTGTCTTATTTATCTTTTTTCCTGAGAGAATATCTTGCATGCAACGCTTTGCTACAGTGAAAATGGTGCACAGGCAGAATTTTAATAATGCACATGAAACATCTTAAGTACTTTTAAGGATTTCTTGATTTCCTAGATAATCATGTCATTATCTTAATTATTTTTATTGTATTTTAACACACCATAGGGGCATCTATTGCATGTTCAAGTGTAGACACATTTGGGCTTTGTTGCACAGAATTTTTAAAATTTTGAAATGTCACATCTTTAGTTTTGTCTCTTTGAACATCTAGATTTAATCTGCGTGTCCCTTGCTTTCCAGCTCTGCATGAGCAGACACAGGCAGGCCTTTTGTGTGTGACCTCTGGTCCATACATCCCCACTGCAGCCATCAGTATCACTGTCCGGTGTCTAGCACACTGTCAGCTATTGTTGGGTTCTCAACCTGCCCCACGTAGCCCTGTGCTTTTTTTTTTCTCCGGGAGAAAACAGCAGCCAATTGTCAGAGGGGGAGCAGGCCGGCGTGACAGAGGTGGAAAGCTAATGAAGTTATTTGACGGCAACCCTGGCCACGGAGCGAGAGGTGAGGCGGAGTGGACAAGCGCCTGGCAGCGAGACGGATGAGGCGCGAGAGAGAAGCGTGGCGAAGGGGAGAGAAACAGGGCAGAGTACGGCGATGGAAGCAGCATTGGTGGCAGGTGTCAGAGGGGTGTGATAACATGGAGACAAACTGATGGCATCGTCAACTCGGAGCTAGAAGCAGCCTTACAGTATCATGCACAGAGAGCTGACATTGGCCTGGGTACGCACTCACACAGGCAGGAAGCTCACAGAAGAGATGCCCAGTCACCCAGAGATGCCCATCTCCTCCACAGATCTGTGTTCACTTCACAAGATGATCTGCCAGAGACTGGATGCTCATGATGCTATTGTGATTGTGAAATTCTGACAGACAAATGGCCAAAGTGTAAGCTTGCTCTTGCAGGCTGAATTGTTCCTGTTGGTTTTGTGCTCTAGCTTTTTGTCATTGAGCCATCAGCTTAGAGGAAAAAAAAAAAAAAACGTGCCCATTGGATTAGGCTACTAAATAATTCATTGGGCTCTGTAACATAGATTCTTAGTGGAAATACACTCTATTTATAGCGACAATCCAAAAGGTCACTGGAGTGGTGTGACTTTGTGTGTGAGTGCACGTCCTGGGGTTGTTTTTGTTCTCGTGAGGCCACAGAGGAGAAGAATTTGAGAATCTTAAGTTTGTGTTGAGTCTGTGTTTGTCAGTGGCTTATGTGCAGCCCAGCATGTTCTTATGGTTTGAAGGCAGCCTGACACACAAAGTAAGCGTTTCTCCTGAGATATAGATAACTATGTGTCTGCGTGGGTAAATGGGAGAGTGTATTTTTATGTGTGTTTGTAAGGCGGTGACCAAGTGTGCTGTCCCTGTCTGATCCGACATGGCCCAACACGCTTCTAATTAGAGGACGTCCTTCCAGGTGCTGACCAGGTTATACTTAGCCTGCCCGCTGACATCTGACGGTGTGACATTTCCAGCTGGTGCCGCCTGCGACCCTGCGCCACTGCCCCTGAACTTGAAGGTCATTGCCCCCTCCCTCCTCCCCCACCGCTCAACCTCTTCCTTCTCTCCCTCTTGAACTGCAACCCCAGCCCGCCATAGTGTGGCACTGTGGCATTGTGGCACCACATGGGTGGTCAAAACACCAGCACCTGTCCCCTTTTCCTGCCCTGTATCCCCTGTCCCTGAGCCCTCTATCCCTCCGGCATAGATCATCATTAATCAGAGGGGCTGCAGCCGGCACAGATTGATGATGCGGGCAGGGGGCGGCAGGCCTGTGGCGGTTAGAGATGTTAGGTGAGACGGTAGGGTGAGGAGCGGAGCAGATCTCTGCTGGGGCCAGAGGAGACTGGACAGCAGTCTGCCCAAGAGTGATAGCCTCTCTTACATCCATGCCCTGTGTCTGTGTGTGTGTCAGACAGTAAAAGTGTACAGATTGCTTGAAAACTGTTGACATGTCAAGGGTTAGGATGGGTGTCAATAAGATGTTAAGATGTGTTTTGTTGGTACCCACAGTCACGTTTTCTTGGAATCAACTACATTTCTTTTACTTTAAACATACCAGATAATGACGCTGGTGAAGTCGTTCCATATACAGTGCTCTTTAGCAACTCCCGAACTGTGGTGTCTGTTGGAGCATCTGTAAATTAATTGTATTATCTCAGAATACATGGCCATTACTTTTACAATTACATCATATTACAGATGTGAGAAAAAAAACCCTCAGTTAACAGAGGCAATTATAAAGATACAGACAGCAACCTCCTTTCGCATTTGCTTATCATTGCAGAGAACATGAGGTTGTAAACATACATGCTCACCTAACACTTCCTTCTACAGCAGTTGATCATTATTATCTAATTAACCATAACAAGTCAAAGAATTACAAAGAAGTAAAATGGTTATTAACTCATAAAATCAGAAAGATAAAAGAAAATGTTGCATTCCTTTTAATAATATCAACAACAAACACAAGAAATGGCTCTAACAGCAACACACATTCATGTAACTGTTTAAAGTTTCAGGTATTCAGATCTCTACTAAGATTGAATTAATTTAATTAAATACTTAGTACTGTAATTGGTTCTGAAAAATGGCATGGTGCACCTGTAGCAAATCAGGTTACAATAGTGAACAATAGTATCCTTTAACCTTCCCCATGGTTGGACTGCGTGAAGCGAGGATATCAAGTAACTTGTAGAAATAAAACATATTTTTACAAGTTCTCTGTGTTTTATAGCCATTTAAAAATTCAACAATGTTTTAAGCTATGGTCTGTGTAAACGTTTGTTTTAGTACAGAGTGTAGTGGAACGTGCTGAGAGACACAAAGAAAAGGCGCTTGCCCCGCTGTTCTTTTCTTGGCGGCTATCGGAAGTTGCTCCATGTCTAATTATTAATTATTCATCTTAGGCGGATTAGATGTGGCCCAGTTTCTCTTGAAGATGACTTTAGAGCAGAGGGATCCATGTGACAGTTCACTCCCCAACCTAGGCTACATGCTGCACAGATGATAAGAGAGATAAAGCTTCAGCCGATTGCTATCGCGCTCTACACAAGTACAGGAATTATTTCATGTCCTTACGCCTGAAGAGGATTCAGACGACGTCCAGGGCGAGAAGGGATGAGGAACCAAGACTTAAAGTAGAATAAAGCTGAGAATAAAGTGTACAGAAATGACTGTAATTGGGGGGGGAGTAGTGTGAAGGAGAAAAGAGGAGGGAAAAGAACTGGGAATTTGTTGCGGATGCCCTGAAGACCAAGAGAGAAGGACAGTCATGAGGTTGCACCCTCTGTGTTGGCCCTCAGCATGCCAACTGTGGTGTCTGTTGCAGTGACAGGACTGTGAAAGTCCACTGTGGCCACTTTGTTGTTCCATTTAATTAGCATTTTCATGTATTATAGTTTATGGTGTGTGTGTGTGTGTGCGTGCGTATATATAGTCCTCTGCACTCATAAGAAACCTTGATATAATGTCCTTGTGGCATATTACACTAAACATCAGGTGTTTGTTTAGTTTTGTTCCAGTTAGCATCATAATAAATGTAACATAGATGCTTAACACAAGCTGAAGGATGAGGGGTATACAGGATGCAGTATGTGACCCTTGGGTGCAAGTTTTAGAGAACTTTTCCCTTACACTCAGATGTAAGGCAGATGCTGTGATAAAAAATGTAGAGCCTCCATGTTGCCTCTTGCTGCTGGGTTAAACTTAACGTACACCTTTAAAAATACTCTACAAGCCTCACTGATCTGGTATCTTTTTTTTTTTTTTTTCCTGCTTCTCTTCAAATTGTCTGATTTAATTCGTTCTCATTCCTTTGATTCCTTTTCTTTCTGACTGCAGCGGCCAACCAGAGGGAGACACTCAAGTCTCCATTCCACCTGAAGGAAGAGCCCAAAGTGGAGGAAGCGTTGAGCCCTAGACCATCCTCCCAGTCCCAGAGCCAGGTCCAGCCAAGCTTTCCTGCGACTTTCTGTCAGGACGGGCCAGTGGGGGCTGCAGCAGCCACAGAGCGCCAGGGGCCATTGAAACCCAGGGAAGGAAGCCCAATGTCTAAGAACAGCTTGCTGAGCCAGGATATCAACGTTAAGGTGGCCTCTGAACTGCTGATTAAGCTTTCAGGTAATTCTAAATCTAAGCAAAAGATTGATGGATGGATGGATGGATATACTGTATTTCTTAAGTTTGTGTAAAACACTTGAAAACGTAAGAAAAACAGTACAGAATTATTTCTTGGACACAACAAACCATGCTCTGTGTTATTGATATTTGTGGTGCTGGTCGGCTGTTTGAGTTTCAGATCAGCCAATAGCAGCTCAGGAGGTTACCTGTAGGCCAAAGGTTATGACACTGACTGCCATAAAAGGGTTCTGTTGTTTTCTACCATGGCACACGAAACCAAGCTGAAATTGGGGGCTTCTAAAAGGTGAGCAAAGTGTACCTGTGGGGAAAAAGCATATGTGATGAAATGGTCTTTGTGACTCTGAGGCCTCAGCTCTGGATGGTGGCTGCGAAGCCTTTGTATCATCTGTGATGATATTCGGGTAACTTGTCTTGACCCTTGATTTTCCTTCTACACTACCCCTCTATGCATTTAGTTTTTGTGAACACGAAGCAGTACATTGCGCATCAGTTCTGCTTTGTTTTGTGCAACACCTTTTTTTTTTTTTTTCAAAACAATGTCCTCAAATGGCAAGAAGATATATCTGCTATATTGAACTTAAAACTCAACCCTGACTTCCCCTTTGGACCATGACAGACAGTTAAACTCTAAGATATTTGACAAGCACCATGTTTCAACCTGTTTGGACCACTCTGACATCATCCAGTGCAGCATGATTTAGCCTTTACAGCTTCTGGTTTGAGCTCAGCAAGAATGTTAGTAACAAGTCCTCGGGCAAAGACTCAAACCTTCTTTCTTTTGTAGCACATTGCATGTGCTACCCTACTGTTGTTTTTCAATTACCACTCACTTTGTGTCACTGCTAAATAAAGTTTAAAGCTGGTGCTTATTTTAGCCTACATCCCAAATCACTACTGAATGCCAGGTCCAGTTCGAGTGTGTTATGGACAGGTGTTTGTCCACTGTGGGCTGCTGGAGTGTATCTCTCAGGCAGTCAAGAATGAAATTTGCTCAAGTATGTATCAGTTTGTACTGAACAGAACTGACTTCTCTAGTTATATGATAAGCTGAAAAATGTTCTTCCTGATTTCACAAATGTATTTCAAATTGTCGTTATTCTAATACCCAGCAGGCCTCCTGAACTATATTTCCTTTGGAAAAAAAATACAGTCATTTCAACATTGGAATGATTAGTATGATAGAACTGTGCGGCCATAAAATTTACAATGTGACACATTTGGGCAAATATGCATCCACAGTGGTAAAAACCACAAAGTAAATGGCAGTCTGATGGTGGCGCAGTGGGGCGTTGCTCTATCCGCGGCTCTTCATCCTGTGCCAGTGTGTGCGTGCTTGACAGACACCTCACACACCGGTTGCCATTGTTCTCTCTGGGTTGACTGGTGTTCAGAGTGACTCATGCTGGCTGGAAGCTCTGTGGTACTACACGTGTGCTGCTCCACTGACTGCCCCCAGGTCACGTTTCCCTGTGTGTGTGTGTGTGTGTGTGTGCGTGTGTGTGCGCTTCTGTGTGTGCGCTTTTGTGTGAGTGTTTGAGGAAGACAAAGATGCTATGATTACTACTTTAAAACAACAGGAAAACCTAATTTAAGATATTGGCCTTTGTGTTAAATCTGAGAGAGAAACAAAGAGAATGATGTGGGCAGTATATAATTCCTTCATTGTGCTGCCTCCACCTATGTTCTTTGTTTCATCCCTCTTTCTCTCCCATCATTTCCAATCCCTGCACTGATGTTATCCTGCCAGTTTATTTGGTCCTCAAGCAACATGGCCAGCATTTATCCCCTCCCATCACTTACACTAGCTCTGCAAGGTTGACCTAGGTTAGGGAAAGATGCTGCAGCGTTCATCCGTCCGCTGGCTCCCTCTGCCCCCTCACACAGTCCTCGGAGCGCAGTGCCGTCCATTGCCATGGCAACAGCGGGGGCGGTAGATGGAGAGGGCTGTCTAGAGTGACAGCCTTGACAAGAGTCTGGACCCTCAAATGACCCTGGGGAAGGAGAAAAAGATGGCGAGGAGGAAAGGAGAAAGCCAGGGAAAGGTCAATGCCGTTACAGTCACGTGTGATTATGGTCATGAGGTTCAAGGGCATATACACTGTAACCTCTCTCTGTCCCCTGTTAAAGGTCAACCTTGGAACACAACAACGCAGTGAGAATACTTGAATAGGGAAATCACATTGGGGAGTTTAGACTAAGCATTTTCTTTGTTCGGAACATCACTATTTGTCTGTTAAAAAGTGCTTATTTTCCCAGTCTTACTTGTCGTACAGCAAATGGACACAGCCTAATTAGATTTCTGCTGCTCATCCTTCCTCGACCATGGCATCGGACAGTCAGAGCAAGTGGGGTTGTCATCATTACTGCCCATTGTGCTGTAACATGAGTTGCATCATCCCTTTAACTAGGTCACTTCTTCTTCTTTCTCCTCCCCCCCCCCCTCTCCTCCCTTCCTTATCAAACATTGGTTGGTCATGTTGAGTCGCCTTGCTAGCGCTACCTCCCCCACATCTGTTTAAAACCAGGCTGCTGGTGTCTGGGGGCTAATTACGCCGGGCTAAATAGTCCCTGGCGCCAGCGGCTAACGTGTCCTAGCAGATGGGCACTGGTGTTGCAGGGCAAGGGGAAACATGGCGTCACAGGAAGGGAGGGGGAAAGGGAGGCGGGGTACAGGGCCCTAGGTGGTGCCCTGGCAGACTGGCATCGTGTGGGTAACAGCCGTGCCACCCACTCACCATCCAGCCACCCTCACTATAGGTGTGAAATCACACTTTGTACTCGCTTAACTCATTCCTCATTCCTTAGGAACAGGCCTTCCATCTCTGAGGACATTTTACAGGCCCTCTCCCCTCTACAGTGCTCGTTACCTCGCTAATAAAAGTTACATTAAACAATTTGAACCACTAAGGTGCAGAAAGACTCCGAACCAAACCGATAGCAACACATTTTTAGCTCATGAGGTTCTTTTTGTTGATATTAATAGAAGATTAAAAAAAAAACAACCTACTTTCACATCCAGCAGGCACAAAAACAACATGGACATTCCATCTGAGCCTTTTCTGGTTACAAACCAACTTTAGTATTGCCTGGTGTTTATCCCTTGCTTGGTCCACCAGCTCCAGTGACAGCCGATGCGCATGGTTTTAAAAGAAAACTGTATTGTTTTAGTTTTGTCTGTGCGTCAGAGCAATTAGCTGAATGCGGCAAGAAGCTAGAAAGTGGGTGTTGATTTCCAGAAGCATTGGCAGTTCTTGCAGCAGTGGCCAAAGCTGATTGATTGAGTGATAATTAACGCTGTTTATAATCAAAGGATGCCAACTCCACCTGGCTTCTCTTCAAAAGATTTCACATGATTGCCTCTGCTGTAGGAGCCACAAATGACTGACATCCCACATGTTGTTGGCCTACAGTGTGGATATTTTCACTGTCAACAGGATAATCTGACAGTTGGAATTTGTAGGGTTTCAAAAAACAACCCCTGACTTACCACTTTTAAATTTAACTAAAATATTCCCAGTTTTAATTCTGCTGTACCACTTCAGTCTGCTCTTAAAATGCATTAATTAAAATGAAACAGATAAAGTGGCAGAATACCCTCTATGCTGTAACAGACGATGAGTACAGATGCACAGAGGTTTGCATTGATTTTTTTTCCAGCACCCTGGTTGGTTGTGCATGATTTCCTCGAGGTAACCACAGTGGATCACAGAACTTGTGTTACACACTTCAGGTAGGGATTTAACCAACTAAAGTGGAGGGCTCTCCTTAAGTCTAAAATCAGTTTACAGTTGACAACTTTATTGACATTTGTGCTTAAATTGCATTAAACATGTGTATTTTCTTTGTGTCTGCTGGTTGTAGAATGTGTTTGGATTACATTATTCAGCATTATTATGTAATTGCTGCATGATGATAGAATGACCAAATTACTAACTCTGTGATGGTGCACTAAAACAAACTTTTTACAGCTATTCAGTTTCTAATATTCAAACAGCCAATTTTCACCGAGACACTAACACATTGCCTTGTTTGTATTACAAGTCATTGCACTTTTCCTCCCACCTTTTGCACCATGTACAGTAAAGCACAGCTGAAGGATGACAAAGACAATGATTTAATCTTAAAAGTAATGAAGTAAAACAACAGAAATATGTTCAATAATACAGGATCTCAATGTGTTTGTCTTCCAGGAGAAAAATGCCAAAGAGCACTGAAAATAATAATAATAACATAACTTATTGTATTAAAAAATATATCTATATCTTAAAAATATATCTGTCTCCCTGTTAGTTAATAAGTGAACGTAATGCTCATTAATTATTTTCACTCTTGCATGCAAGGATTCCCTATTTGCTCAATATAGCTTATCAAAGCAGACTGTATAAGCGGTTCTGATTCACAACACTGGCAATACTGTACAGTATTCCTTTATGCTAAGCTCTACACCGCTCTGACAGTGTCCTCATCATGCCCCCTCAGTGTGGCCGCTCACTGACCTCTCTTACTCCCACCCTCCCTACCTCCACATCTTTCTCTCTGTCTCACTGGCTTCTTATCATTGCCTATAGTTCTGTTTACAGAATGCAGAGTGGATTCCTTTTGCCCCTTGCTGCATGCGTTTGTTTCCCCTGGGCAGGTAGTTTTATATGCGGAAGTGATTGACAGAATTACCGAGGCAATCACTTGTCGTGTTTTGTCTTGACCTTGTATGATAAAGCATTATTAGCCTTGGATCCGCTCTGGCTTATGCCAAATGTTTTTGTTTAGAGCTGCTTTATAAGGGCCATATCTGGATCCTGATGGGCTGTTTATCAAGCACACTGCTCTAGAGTCAGATGTAGCTGCAGTTTGCGACCATTGGAAGGCTGAACTACTGAGAGCTAGCTGGTCGAGGATCAATTGCAGCAGCTGCTGTTTGTGAAGTCTGCAGGCAAGGCTGCTGTGGCTCCCACATGACATGCAGTCTCCACACTGCAGCCTTTGAAGCGCGTGAACTCTTCACCCCTGTCTGAGCAGGTCGGCTAGAGAGCAGGAGAATAGAGAGATTGAGAGAGAGAGAGAGAGAGAGAGAGGGATGGGGGCAGGGATAGAGAGATGTGGAATAACAGAGCAAGGAGAAGGGTAGACTAGGATAACGGGAGGGGGGGAGAGGTGGAGAGGTTGTCATTTAGGCTCTAGCCATTCCTCATCCTTCTTTCCTCCTCCAGCCCTTCTCTCTCATCCCGCTTTCTTCTACTCCTCTCTAACCCTCGGGTGTTCTTTTTCTGGCACCGTTTGACAATTTCTTCCCTCTCCTTACCCTTCCTCTTTGCCTCATCCTGTGTCTGTCTCTCTCCCCCCCCCCACCGTCTGTCTGTCTGTCTGCCTGTCTGTCCAAGTTTTTGTTCCTGTGCTGTTGATGCATCGCAGTGGTGCAATAAATTGACGTTGCATACATTCAATCACTAATGGTATGTGATGTTTTTTTTGTACACGTGGTTACAAACCTACCCTGGGTCCGTACACTCCTACTGTATATTCTCAGCGAAACAGACTGTCACGTCCACACAGATTCAAGTAGACACCTGAGGGCAAAGTTGATCACTAAAAACAGAACATCGCACAAACCCCAGTCACTTTCATTCTGACTCAAAACTTGAGTAGTGCTGTGTCAGAGGGAACAGGGTATGTATAGTGCATAGAGTAACTTGGCATACAGATCACATTCAAACACATTATAAAACTGCAACATGGTTGCCATTACAAACCACATGGAGCTGAAAGTTTTCACTTGCAGCCTGTTAGGAGACATGCAGTCTAAATGTTTATCATAGGTTAATAAAGCACGTGGAGTGCTTCAGGAATAGGGTCCATGTGCATATGTTGAAGAGGACACTGAAACTAAAACCCAATTAAAACTTAAAGTTTTAACTGCTTTATTTATCAAACAAACAAAAGCCAGAAGAACAAAGATGTGTGCGTGTGTTCCTTAATTGTTACACCTGCTCTTACATTAACAAAAAGTTAAAGCAATGTAGTGTTGAAACTTTCAGGAAAATGAGGAACATTTGTAGGGATATGGCACAAAATCATGTACCTCAGATGTAACCAATTAATAATTGTATTTCTGTTTTTGTGTACCCCTTGCTCCCCTCTTTAAATGTTGATGTTGACGGTCACCATGCTCCCTATCTAACGAGGACAGCCAGCCGAACTCTGCAGAGGCTGTTATGCATTTTGTTGCAAGATTAATATTCTTCTACATCCTGGCCAAATTATAAAAGGGAAAATGTAATAAATAGAATTATTTGTGATGAATTAATACTTTAGAAGTTCAGTTTCCCTGGTTTTTAATATTTCTAAAGAAAATATAAACCACCAAAAACCAGTTTTCTGGATAAATGTGTATATATTCTATTTATTTATATAAGGTTACTGGCACACTTTGAAGTAATATTAGGAGGAACTGGAGCAACACTGACACTGAAGAAAAGCTATGATATTTATTTTATAGAAAGGGCACAGGCTGTTTTGTACACACACACACACACACACACACACACACACACACTCTTTCCCACACAGACACACACACTCTTTCCCACACAGCACACACACACACACACACACACACACACACACACACACACACACACACACACACACACACACACATTCTTCCAGACTCGATTCTGTGGCCTAATGGCAGCTGGTGTATCACAGAGAAGGCTTCTGCACCAGAGGGGATGACACATACACGCATAGACACACAGTGCACACACACTCTCTTACAGACACACAAGCTGGATTCAGGCAAACTGAGGGCTGCTTTTTATGGCTTCAGAACATTAGGTCAAAAAGCCAAATCTATTATCAGTGTGGGAGTAAGGCCACATTTAAATTTTTCATTATTTTTTTTTTATTTTGTGACAGGTAGACTTCTGATCTGGCCTGCTGTGATGTGATACTTTCAACGTGTTGTCGGTGTGTTTATGATCAAATATTTTCTCTCTGTGTCGTGTGATCTCGCTGTAATGGCTCTTTGGGTTGTGAGCATGTTTGTCCCGGCGCTGGAAGCTCAAGTACATATAGTGTCCTTTAGTACGAGAGTGTGTTTTTTTTTGTGTGCAACTGTGTGTTTTTGCAGCACAGCAGTCCACTCAGCCTCTGTCGTTAGGGTGGTGATCCAATGATGGAAGCTTGCGTGTCCCTTGGTTGACCCTTACAGAGCAGTGCCCCCTACCCCTCCGCCCTCCCGTCTCTCTCCTCCTCTGCTCTACCCCTCCATCAGCCTTTCCTAGGTTACTGTTGGCCAAATCTGGCCACCTGATTAAGGGATTAGTGGGGCTGATGGTTGTCAGTGTCCCCCACATGCTGGCTACTACCACTAAACCAGACACCTGGACCTCAGGGAGGAGGCGGGGGGGGGGGAGTTTACACTTTAATTCATCCACATAAACACACAGAAACACTGTTTCAGTAGACAGTCTTGCATGTCCACACATGCGCACAATGGGACTGTTGGTCCAGTCTTGGTGTCTCACACTGGCTTCGTTCAGCAGAGGAGTGGAGAATGTGAGGGGAGGGGTGGCAGGGTTAGGACAGGGTTACTGTCTTGTATCTCCCCTCCCTGCCTCTTTCTCCTGCTCTTCTAACCTCCCCCTACCCCTCCCACTGCTCCCGATGCCCTGCCAAATTCATATATCCCATAATCGTGCTGAGTCGCCATGTCAGCAGCACTGTATCAACCCCACTGCTTTGTCTTGCTCTTGCATGTCGCCACACTGAGACACTACCTCCTGCCATCACTACAGTCAAAAGATCTCGGATATGCAGATGCTAATGGATGTCCCAGTCAACTTTGTTTTTCCTCCGATCCTATATATTAATTATTTTTTTCCACATCATCATCAGTGCTGCCTAAAGTAGACCTACATTTAATCTAGTAAATGTAGCCACAGAGACCATTAGAGAACCACTTTCTAACAACAGAATAGCTCTGCATTAAGAAAATATAGCATGCCTCACAGTTTGCTTTTAATAGTTTCCAATATTTTTTATGGCGACATATAGTCTTTAGTTTAATATCCGTAGAGAGATGAGAGTCAGTGTTTGATTCTGCAGATCGGCTAGGGACATTCCTAACAGATGCCATCTCGACTATTTTTAGCCTGCCTTCTGCACCTCACCTTTTGAACTTGCACGAGAAGTTAGTCAACAGATGTTTTCCCCATTTCAGTCATTGTTAATGTGTTGCCTTCAATCAGTGTCATATCCAGCACCTGTAGCTATTATAAACACTGAATAATTGCTTCTAAGTTAACGTTTATAGTGTTGTAGTGTCTTTCCTGTTTGCTACAGTGAACCTACACGAGCTGCTGGAGCCCTCCCCCAAGCGAGAGTTTGACCTCCCGATGCCCTCATGCCCTAGTAATTACACAGCAAGATGCTAACCGGCTCAGCTCAGCTTTGGCGGCAATGCTCATGTTTTGTCTGTTATTTGGATTTCCCTGTTTCAGCTTCGGTTATAATCGCACATCACCTTTAAACATGCATGCTTAATGTACTTCAAAAAGGTGTTTTTATTTTGGTTTGATTATTTGACCAGACCAATTGTGTAGATTATCCAAGACAGTGACGATATGAAAACTTATAATTACCCTTAACTGTCCAAAAGGGTGTTCCTCTTTCTTTGGGTTTTTTTTAGTGGATTTTTTGCAAATCGGGGCAAAGATAGAGTGAGTTGTGTGTCTTATTGATTGTAGAGCTTTTGAGTCAGATGTGTGACTTGTGGCAGATTGAATAAGACTGACTTGATTTGTACAGGATAAGCACATGTGACAGGCGATTTGACAGAAAAACACATCAAATTAAGCCTTTGTCTGATCTACAGCTACAGTGTAATCATTTGTGTTCAAAGTATTCTGCAGTCAGGGTTTTGTGGAAAACTTACAGTATGTGTGCTTTCAGATTTCACTGCAATTCAATGTTCCTGGATACATTGATTTTTAGTAACAAATATTTATGAAAATTATGAAAGTTTACAAAACATTTTGAATGCGTTTACTTTACATTTTGGGATACATTTTTTGCCAGCTGGTTGTTTTTGAGCACTTGTAATTTCAAGTTCTTTTGAGGTCTGAATTTACAATTTGATTTCCTTGTTATTCCCTGCACGTTTGAATGTGATGCAGTACAACAGTTCTACAATAAATATAAGCTTTTACACTTTCTTTTGCTGCTCCATGTGTGTAAATAAAGTTGATAGAGTAATAGAAACAGCTTTCAAATTGTAGTAGTCAACAATATCACACTTAAAGTAAGTAAGTCAGTATTACCAGTATGTATCTGTATCAGTATTACAATCTTAATTTGAGTGATTGTTAGATGATTAATCGGGTAGGAAAGTAGATGTATGTATGTATGTAGCTAAATCTCTTTTAATAAGAGTCTAACCAGTAATTTCCCTCTTGTTTAATCATCTGCTGCAGAGAACAACAAAGATGCCCAGTACCAGAAGGTGAAAGTAAAGGCAGAGCCCATGGAGGTGGACCCACCCCATGCAGAACTCACCCCACCTGCCTCTCACCTGCTGACCTTCAGCACTTTAGGGGCGAGTGAGAAGAGTGAGCCAATGAGCAACCTCCCGGAGACGTTGTCCCGCCCCCAGAAAGACCTCTTCTCCCAGGACATATCGGTCAAAATGGCCTCCGAACTACTGTTCAAGTTGTCAGGTATGTTCCTTCAAGACAGACACACACAGTTCTCTGAGCAACAGTAGATCTACAACACACACACACACACACACACACACACACACACACACACACACACACACACACACACACACACACACACACACAGCAACATGTCTGGGTTTTTCCTGCAGCTCAGAAGCGTAAACCTTGGACAGTTTTTGATACTTGACCATAAAACCTACATGTTTCCATTTCCATCCTCTGGTGGCTCTGTAGTAAAGTCGAGGATATATGATGTGTAATGACACCCTGCTTTTACCTGTATGGCCATGAAAGTGACATTGAAGCAGCAGACAGCTGTTTGTATTGCTAGATTAAGACAGAGCTTTGAGGTGGAACCATCACCCCCCAGAGAAAAGGTGCAGATGTGAGTGTGTGTGGGGGGGGTCAGGCTTGTAGTCCTGGGCTGTGACCCCGGCTCTATGCAGCCTGTGATTGCTTCGCTTAAATGCCATATAGAGAAACGAGCTTGTGTAAAATCTTTTTTTTTCTCCTCTTGCTCTCACACATATTCACAAATTCACACATTGACAGTCTTTCTTTCCCACACAGTCTTGCATGCACACCTTTACACACTCACACAAGGCCCCATGGGGAGTGGTGTCTGCACAAATGCCCCCTCTTCCCTCCTCCCTCTCCTCCTTTCTCTCATTCTCTCTCTCCCTCCCTTGACTCGTTTTCAGACATGCCGGCTCAAGCACACTTGGCTGCACACGCTCTCCCCCTGCACTTCCCCTCCCTCCCTCCCTTTACATTTCTCCCGTGCGGCATCTCCATGGCAACGTGGAAAGAGACCTCTGTCCTTGGCGAGCAGTGTGACGGAGTGGGGTGTTTAGGGTGGGGGGGGGGGGGTTGTAACGGGGGGCAGAGGATAAGGAGGGTAGAGAGGGCAGCAGGGGTACACAGTATGCCCACCCAGGGAGGCCAGGGCATCGCTAGCCTGGCAACAGCGAAAACCTCCCCCTTAGAACTGGGTTTGAATGTGAGGGGGACTGGAACAGAGTGGGCTGCTGTCACACAATGAGCAATCAATATGAATTACCCAGAGCAGTAGGACCTCAGAGACACATCAGTAGCAAGGTCGCTCTGAACACTGAGATGGTTGCAGCTTTGAAATTCACTTCAGTACATCGCCTTGTAATTCACACATATGGCTACATTCTCAGGCATCTTTGTATGGGGCTCTTTACCACTGAATGCTGAAAACCCAACACTGTGAGTGGTAATAGCTGATTTTACAGTTCTTGCTTTAGTTACCACTTAAGAAACCCCTATAAGTCCTTTGTATTTAAGTCACAACCACTCTGATTAACTAGAAATGACTTCTCTACGTTATACTCAACAAGCATTCAGTTCACGATGAGCTCCGACCATGTTGGACCTAAAGCGACTCGTTCACTGAAACAGTGCTCAGGTTCTCTGATATACTGATGTGGACATGCATGGCATCCGTTTTCTTCTTACACATGCGTGACTACAGGTGCATGCAACAGAAGCTGTACTTACCCTGCACGGTAAACAGATTATAGGCTTCATGTGTGATCATGACAAGAAATCAGGTGTCATCTTAGGTGTCAGAAGGACGGGTGTGAACACCGGCAAAACTGTAAAGTTGTGGAAACCTCGACAGACATCCAGTCAGTTATCACCACTTTTCACTCTTTGTTATAGTGTTTTTATGTTCGTGTTTATTTGCAGCCTGCAGCCTCACAAAAAACACCACTAATCTCAGGAGAAATTATAATTTTTTTGTGGAATATAAAGTTAGGCTTGTTAAGCATCAGGAGCTGTCTGATTTTGCTCAGCAGGTGATTGACTGATCGATCACATTATACGGTGTAATTAATCTGAGGAGCACGTTGCTACGCCAGCAAAGGATAAAAACCTGAGTTTTTACAATTTGGGAAAAGTAGAGCAAAACATCCGAGCGAGGTACAGTCAGGTGCTGTGATTTGTGAATTGCGGTTTGAAGTTAGTTTGATAATCACCAGTTGTACACACATTTTGAATTTACTCCTCCTAAAGTAGTACCATGAAATTTTTGAATATATTTTGCCCTGATGAAAAGCTTTTCAACAGACTTTCCCATTTACATACAAGAGCTCCACCGTACACAAACACACGTGCCATCTGGGTAGTGTAATGTAGCTCTGACCAGCCATGCAGATTGTTATTTTTTTTAAAAAATCATATTGGTGTTGTTGGGCTTGCTTTTGGCCCACAGGTCGGCGGGCCCACCACAGAGACTCCCACTTCTCCAGATGGCCAGTACACCCCTGCTGGCATGGCGAACCTGTGCTTTACTAGCCGAGTTAAACTTGAAGGGATCATATAGTGCTTGTGTCTCAGTTCTATAGTCGCCAATGTGCGGGGAAGTTTTAGGACATTTTTGGTAATAATTTATAAACTGACTGAGTAATTTACAGAGGCAGCTCCTCTCCACAATCTTCAACCTTCAAAACACTCGTTTCTTAACTCTTTTTTTTCTTACTAGCTTCTTCTGGAGCCACCAACCACATTCTTCATCAAACACATAATTTACTTAATTGTCTCAGAGATTGCTCAGTTTTTATCAGGTGACCTCCACTATGGAACTTCAGTCACATGATAACAGGTGGTCGTTTTCTGGGAGGTAGATTGTAACCCCGGATTTTAATAGACAGTACAATGAATAAATAGAAATTGTAAAATATAAATATATGTATAAATGGTATTTTTTATTTTTTTTGTTGTTCTTTTTTCAGAAAAAGTCAGCAAATCCAACAACCACAAAGACAGCAACATGGTGGGAATAAACAGGTGAGTCAATAATACTGTGTGTATTTGCTGTTTAATTATGAAATTATTTTTTCATAACTAAATAACTAAAAATGATACTTGTTTAGTTTAGTAGCCATGTAACTGTTAGTGTTATGTATCATGTTTCAGTCCATTCCTGGACGAGTGCTTCAGACAATCACCCTTTAACTTGCGCTCCAAGAGCTCTTCCCCCGCAGAGGCCAGCTCTTCTACCAGGGCAGCATTTCACGGTAAGACGCATGTAAAACACACACACACACACACACACACACACACACACACACACACACACACACACACACACACACACACACACACACACACACACACACACACACACAAACACACAGTAACATCACTAGAGTAGTAGTAGACATAATCACTAGCACTTTAGCTTCTGTAGCAGATTGCGTTTTGGAGCTGCAGTGTTGAGTCGATTAGTTGATTAGTCGGTTGACAGAAAATTCCTCAGCAACTATTGTGATGATCAATTAAGTGTATTAATCTTTTCTGCAGATTAATCGATAATGAAAATAATCATTAGCTGCAGCGCCAGTGTCTTTTATGTTGGTTATTTTACCATTTTACACAAAGAAATAAGAGACGGAAAAGTAATGTGCAGCTGGCCAAAACAGGGAAGTAATTAACTGCCAACGGACAGTAGTGCCGCGTCCTCCGTAGTACAGTATCTTCAAAGGCATGCATCCAAGGCTTCATGTTATTCTCAGTGTTGCTTAGAGAAATCATTGATTATGCAGAGAGGCTCATTAAACACACGCAGTACATACATGTGCATACACATAACACACTTACCCTCTCACACAGAAGCTTGTAGCCTGGCGAGCTACTCAACATCGAACTAAACATCGAACTACATGTGAAGACACCTTTTTAAATTGGCCACAAGGACACATCACAATTAACCACCTCCAACTTTACATGATCTCCCCCCTTCCTCCTCTCCGGTAAACCTCCCTCTCCCCGTTTCATATTTAGAGCTCCATCCAGCTTTTCTGCACTCTCACACATTTCCCCAACCTGAAGGCCTCTGCCCAGGGCATCCCCCGTCTCCCTCTCCTCCCCTCTTCCCTGGCATCCCAGAACTACCCCCCATGTTCCTTTGGCAGTGAGAGATCCAGAGGTTAATTAGCTTGTGCCAGCTTTGCCTGTCCCTCTGCCAGTTAATGAAAATCTGATTGGCTTCTGGGTGTCAAGAGTGTCCTGAAAGTTAATTCGCCCAGCCCATCTCGCCTTTCCCTTGTGTGCTTAAGCTTCAGATCCAGCCTCTGTTGCTCGCTCTCCTACAGTTGTACTGTTTTACTCTTTTTCTCTGCTTCATATTTGTCTAGCTTTGCTTGTTCTTTTTCCTTTAGTGCGCTTTAATTTTCTTTTCCTCCCTGTTTTATTTCCCATTGCTCCAATTATTGGTAAGCTTTTCTAGTTGGTTGGTGAACTACTGTCCTTCCCTGTTAGTTCACTTCTCCTACACAAACCCGCCACACTTTTTGGACCCAGCATTAAGAGACTTGTAGGTTTAGTAGATTTGTAAGTGATGACTGAAAACTTGTGAATTCAAAAAGAATTACTGCAGATATTATTTGACAATGTGCCCCATTGTACTGCATTTATAGAGGAAAAAATACAAATATCTGTATTATTATTGTCAAGGTTTGATTAAAAAACAGGATATAAGAGTTATATACACAATTGATCTGCATGCAACAACTATTAATGTATAAATAAAAACTGAGCCTTTCCCTTTAAGTCAGAAAGAAAGAATAAGTGAGGAGAGATTTGTGTGATCCCAGTGCGACCTCAGGAGTTTGCCGCTCCCTTCCGTCTGGGTTCTAGCACCATCCTTCATTTCTTGTTTGTGTCCCTCTCTCTCCAGCTCTAATAGCACTAATTAAACCATTAACCACTTCAAGGCCCACGCCACTCCCTAACTGGCTTAATCAACAGTGTGTTTGCCGGGTTGTGACCTCGAGCGGCTGCCCTGACCAGGCCATCATCTGGTCTCACTTGTGAGTCAGGACAAGTTAATGCTTTTATGTGCTAAGCTTCTGCTACAAGCACCATAAGAAGGTCTAGGATTCTCAGAATAAGCCAGTACACAGACAATGAGTTTGGAGAACAGAAGTGTGAAAAGCCGGTCGAAGTCAGATATCAGGTCAGATTCCGACTAATGCGGGAGGCCAGAAGGTTTGTGACCTGCAGGTTGGCCGAGGTCGCAGTAACTCAAGTTTTTTTACATGTCTGTTGTTGTGACACCTTCACCACCTGTGTGGCTTTACTCTGTGCGAGGAACCACGCACCACAAATCCACACTATTTGTTGATTATTTACTTACTTTTCAGCAAAGTGTTGCTTTAGACTGGTATACTTGAATGTATTTCACACGTGCCCTCACTCAACAATGTCACAGTGGTGAGTCATAGACCTACAGTAGAGAGGAGATAAAGATATTCAGGTCACAGTTATATAAAAGTGATAAAACCACCAAATTGTTTCATTGGAGAAGCTGCGTCCAGACAATGTGTGGAAATTTTGCTTAAAAATCAGCTCAAATGATTAATTGATTATCAAAATAGCTGGAAATTCAATGTCTAATCGACTAATCATTTCAGCTGTAGTTAAAACTGATTATATTATGGAAAGTACATTCATTACAACACTGTGAAATCATCACAATCATTACTTAATTCACATACAGTTTGAACTTGCTGTTTCAAAGTTGAGTTCACAAAAATATTATTTCAGTACTCCAAGTTATAATAGCTGCGTTACTCCCCTCAGACCATTATTAGTATTTCTTAGAATGATACTATGTGGCTATAAAGGCCTGGTTTAGTTATTTTTTTCAAAATAAGATGCCTATAGGAAGCACACATTGCCCCTATTTTGTGTCTCTCTCTACCCTCCAACTGTCTGCATGTATAACAGATACTTTCCATACGTAACTACACCAGCACCACCAAACATGCTGTTATTTGCTTTGTCAGTTCCAAAAAGATGTGTGAAGGATGGCATGGCACAAATAAAAGCAAGTAGACAAAGGTGCACAACATAAATACACTAGTTTTGTGGGCAAAGAGGAGATTGAATATGTGAGACGGATACAGAAAAAAATGCAGCCGAGCGAGAAAAAGCAGCAGAGTTAGTCCATCTTTTATGAAAACAAACTCTTTAAGACTACCTTAAAGAATTATTTTCTTCTTTTTTTTAATGTCTTACAAATGCAGTAGTTTGCCAAGGTCAGGCTGTGTAGCATGTTCTCTGAAGTATATAGAGTAAAAAAAAAAAAAAAAAGTTGTATAGCACAGAGACAAAAGTACTGCAGGTTTTTTACTAATTAAATGATTCTGTGCCCTGTTCACATGGTGAGGTTTAATTCAGAGCAGAAATGTCTTCAGATTCCATCAAAACATCTGCATATAGTCACTCTCTTTATTTATTTGATGAAGGGATGGAGGGGGGAGGAAAGCGGGGGGTGACATACAGTAAGGAGAGCTACAGTGATGCACGTGTATGCTGCAGGCTTTAGAGCAAAGGACTGCTGCTTGCTGTTGACATTAAGAATGCATTTGCTCTGCTTCCCACCCACAGGCTAGACGAGGAGCATCTGTCAAATGGTAGCAGACAGGTTTTAGTCTTGTGGGTTAGCAAATTAGCCCACAGTGTATCAGTTGTTTCACTGACTTTGAAAGAAATGACAATGATTACATATGTCAGGAAGTGTTATTGTGAAAAAAAAAGAGGAATAGATTTGTGGCACATTTTCACCGATTAGCCTACTCCTATTACCTTCGGGTTTTTAGCTATGTAATACTTAAAAAGAGTACTAAGGTGCTATGACTAAAAGCCACCAGATGAATTTAATGTTATACTTTTATGTATGAAAACCTTAAAGGAAGAACCATTTGTTAACCATAGAAATAATTTTCTTTCACTTCTTGTAAAATGTTAGGTGAGTGTATCATCTCTTTAATTCTCGCCTGTATCATTTTAACTGTCGCCAGTTGCCCTCCAGCCCTCTCCCGCCTGACTGTGCAGTAGGGTGGAGGCCAGAGTATGTAGTGTGCAGGCTGATTTAGCATGGAAAACCACACAGCCTCCATAGGAGGGATTAGGACTGATGGTTGATGGGAAGGCACATGGGCACCATCACAGAAAGAGAATACTGTATGAGGTTATTATAGCTGGGGAGAAAATGTCTGATTTTATGTATGTATTCATTTACTCCTTTTTAAAGGAATAGTTATCAGCTTATTTGCCACAGCCAGTTAGCTTAAAGTAGAGGTAGGGGAAAACAGCTAGCCTGACTCTCTTCAAAGTTCAAAAATACCCCTACATGCACCTTTTTATGTTCACTAAGTAACACATACAAAAACCAAAGTGTAAAAACAAGAAGATGTGGTTTTATTGCGGGTTATGTGCCAGACTATAGGCCAGACCCAGCCACTTCACGGTGTCTCGGTTAACCTGCAGTAACCGCAGCTTTACCTGGTTTGTTTCTGACCTTTTGTTGATACATCCCCTCCCTGTCTCCTTGTTTCCTGTCTCCTTGTTTCCTGTCTCCTTGTTTCCTGTCTCCTTGTTTCCTGTCTCCTTGTTTCCTGTCTCCTTGTTACCTGTCTCCTTGTTTCCTGCCACCTCTCAACTGTCGGCTATTGGATAAAATCAAAATGCCTCAAATATGCTGAAACAAAAGACCAAAACACCACAATCAGTACATAAGCACATACCACAGCAGTGTGTTATGGTTTAGTGGTTACGGTTTCAACATCAATAAATATTGAACTTAAGTTACTTTGTATGATTTATAGCAGCGTGACTTCACAGCCTTTGGTCCACCTGCAGATGCTTTTGTGGCTGATTGTGCCAGCACTGAGTGATGAGTATGGTTTTCTGTGTTTGTGTGTTCGTTCCAGACTCAGAAAAGGATGATGGGGAGCTGGGAAACGGGATCGCCCAGTGGAGACTAAACGAACAGCTCTTCCCCTGTCCTGTTTGTGGCAAGGTGTTCGGTAGACAGCAGACTCTCTCTAGACATCTGTCTCTACACACAGGTAAATAAAGGCACATACACAACATCGGCTTGTACATTGCATCTCTTTGTTAATGTATAGATGTTAGCTGCTGTGTTTCGTGCATGTGTGCTTGTGTCTGTGTTGCCCACAGTAAGTAAATAAGGCTTACTAGACTAGATTACCCTTCCTTTAAAGAGATTACTACCATGATTAGTCTCACTGGGAAAACTGCCCGTCTAATTACCCAGCTAGAGGGATGCCTCACAGAGTATCTACACACACACACACACACACACACACACACACACACACACACACACACACACACACACACACACACACACACACACACACACACACACACCAGTAATTCAGATGCAGCCACGATTAGTTCCTTAGTTCCCTCTTTCCCTTTCTCTCTCGCACTTACATACACGGGAGACTTCCTCAGGATGAAGCTGTACACTCCCTTGTGTCCTGATTACACTGTGTTTTCAAACTTGGCTCTTCTTTGATCCCAAATTGATCCATTCTGCCCAATCACTGTCTTCTACAATCCCTCTTTAGGTCCTTGTCAGAAAAAAAAAATGAAAAAAATCCTGCTTTAAAACAATTTTATTCAAGGCAAATGAACGCTGGATTAGAAATTAATGCAGCCTGCTTGAGATTGCAGACTAAATCACTGGGCGCACAAATGGAGACTCGTGTACAAAATGCCCCCACACAATTGGACATGCTCTCACATTTTGCGTGCACACACTACACGACACTCACACACACACACACACCATCTGAGAGTGTTGGCTGTGAACAGCTTGGCCACACCACAGAGAGCAGAAGCAGGGGCATATGTCAGTGTGATGGTCTTTTTGGTTTCCCCGGCGACATAAAGGTTGCCTGGCTTCATGTCCTTGGGGCAAATGGTGTGTGTGAGTGTGTGTAAGTGTGTGTGTTTGAGGGGGAGCTAGAAGGAAAAGACATGTTGTTATGTTGATTTTGTTTTGGGATAAAAGGAAAGATTGTGCTTTTGTATTTTATTTTATTTGATGTTACAGTGCTCACAAATAAAGTAAAATTATGTCCGTACATGCCACACATTTTCACCATCTTGTGGCATCCACGGGAATATTCAGGTGCTTGCCGGAAAGGTTTTGTCAGACATCACAAGGTGTCACTTCTTCCTCTTCCCAGGATCAGAGTTGCAGTCGGGTCAGGCGGAGGTGAAGCAGGGTTAGGCATTAAGTAATTAGGTTTAAGCTTGCTTTAAAGGCTCGGAGGCTGAGCGCAACTTAATGAAATATCGTCGGAGGAAATGTTTACAGTAACCCGAGGTCTTGTGTCTGTGTGTATTTTGTTGCAGAAGAGAGGAAGTACAAGTGTCACCTGTGTCCTTACGCAGCCAAGTGCAGGGCTAACCTCAATCAGCACCTGACCATCCACTCTGTCAAGCTGGTCAACACAGACGCTGAGCAGATCGTCAGCGCTGTTACAGCTGACTCTGCCGAGCGCAAGAACTGCCCCTACTACTACAGGTAGTAACAGCCCAAAACATACCCCCTCACTGTTTCTTTAGGATGTCTCAAGCCAATATCAGAGGTTGGAATGAAGGCATTTTTTTTTTGACTGATTTCTACTGACTATTTTAACTAATCTGCTTTAAATATTTTCTCTATTTTTGTGAGTAATTTATCTGGAAATTATGCTTGTTCACTTTCTTCTTGATGAGCATTAGATGAGAAACTCAATACCACACTCATATCTGTTTGTTAAATACAGTACAAAGCTACAGCCAGAAGACCGTAAGCATAGTAGGAGGAAACAGCTAGTCTGACTCTGTGCAAAGGTGGGAAAAATAATCCACTTACCAGCACCTTTTAAAACTCACTAATTAACATCTTAAATCTTGTTGGGTTTTTTTTTCAGTGTAGAAATGTTTGTTTTTTGGTTTTATTGGGGGGATATGTGCTGTGCTCTTGTTTGGGTGTAGTGACTTCCTGGAGTTTGTACAGGTGACAGACAACCTGACAGTGAAGACAAGACTCCTTAGTGAGTTTCAGACTTGTTGGTGTATGAATATTTTAACTTAGAACAAAGCCAGGCTAGCTGTTTCCCCCCCACTTACAGTCTTTAGGCTTTAGTCTCCTGGCTGTAAATTCCTATTTACAGACAGACTGTAAACAGACAGTATTCTCATTCTCCTCATCTAACTCTCAGCAAGAAAGTGAATGCGTATATTTCCCAAAATGCTGTACTGCTGCTCTGTGGCTGTTGATCTAAAAAGAGTTAAAATGTCTGCATCATGTTTGCAGTGTGGAATTTTTTAAATTATCTTCAACAAATTAAAAGAAATGTATTCATGCTGTAGACCTCCCCCCTCCCCCTCTTATTCTCACCATCTTCCTTCCTTTTCCTCTCTGTTCTCTGTCCAGCTGCCATGTGTGTGATTTCCAGACGGAGCTGAACGCCCAGTTTGTCAGCCACATGTCGCTCCATGTGGACAAGGAGCAGTGGATGTTCTCGCTCTGCTGCAGCGTCTGCGACTACGTCTGCATGGAGGAGAACGACATGAAGAACCACATAAGTACTGGACACGCAGGTACAGAACCCCTGATGATCCGCAGCTTATGAGTGACAGCATTAATAAGATGACCTAAGATAGATGTGTTGGTGTAATGAAGGGTTGGAAGTTATTGTCTTTAAGTTAATCAATCAGTTGTTATGGCGTTAAACCAGTCCAAAACCAAACATATGCAATTTATTACTATTACATGATGTAAAAAAAACAGAAAATCCTCCCAGTTGAGAAGCTGACACTAGAATTTGTATTTTTTGCTTTAAAAATTACTTAAACAAATCATAGTTGCTGATTTCAACTTTTCTGTCGATTGGTCAATTAATTGATGAGTCAATCGATTAACTGACCAATTTTTAGGGTAATGTTCTTGTTTCTGTTGTTCATGTACTGGTAGCAAAGTACGTACATTTAATTATTACTGCCTTTATCAATTAATCTGCCATTTTATAAGTAATGGCTTGTTTTATAAAAATCAGAAACAGTGAAAAATTAAAACATTTTTGGAGGGCGTTTTGCTCAGAAAGCGAGTTTAAAGGATTAATAGAATAGCGAGATCTGTGCCGATTAAGTGATCGACTAACTGACTAATCTTTCAGATCCAATGTGCTTGAGTACAGAACTAACACAACAAACCTGCATCACTGTCTAAATACTTAAGCTCTGTACTTAATATTCTCTGCTTTTTACTGTATATGAAAAGAAATCGGCTCTTTCAAGTCAAAACATCATAATGTAACAGTAATTTACACTTTTTAAACACAGTTCTGTATCAGTTCAGAGGGCGCAGGGAAAGACAAGCAGAAGAATTGGGTTTCACAAACAAGCCTCCTCCAGTCGACCTTCTTTGGACTTTTAAAGCTGCTGGTATGAACCCCTGGTGGTCGATATGAGTGTTTTTGTCTAAAACAGCTTTGTCCAGTTTATTGCTGATGTATTGCTCTTCCACTGTTCATCAATGTGTGTGTGTGTGTGTGTGTGTGTGTGTGTGTGTGTGTGTGTGTGTGTGTGTGTGTGTGTGTGTGTGTGTGTGTGTGTGTGTGTGTGTGTGTGTGTGTGTGTGTGTGTGTGTGTGTGTGTGTGTGTGTGTGTGTGTGTGTGTGTGTGTGCTTGTTGTGTGTGCTTGTTGTGTGTGCTTGTTGTGTGTGTGTGTGTGCTTGTTGTGTGTGTGTGTGTGTGTGTGTGTGTGTGCTTGTTGTGTATATGTGTGGGTGGGTGGGATTGTCCGGCCTAGACAGCTGAGGGGTCTTTCAGAGGCCACAGTGGCCTTGTTTATCTGAGGAGGTTGGCCCTTATCGTGCCTGAGGGGAAAAAATCAATAGGCCTTGGGTCCTTTGGAGACGAGCTGGGTTTACAATGCCACTGTGGCCATCTTTTAAGTCTCTCAGCCTGGCTTGGCATTTATCTCAGTCTCACACAAGATGGACACCACCACCAGACACACAAATGTACATGAGTTTGGCTTATAGTCACCTCACATATTCCATATGTGGAGATTTTAATAAGTCCAGCGCTGTTTGTTTAAGGGTCCACACTTCAGAGGGTGAGGTAGATCGAGCAGCACTTAGAGTAAATCCTAACAGACTGTAAAAGGCTAGTTATCTGGTCAAATGTGTGGACACGACCAGGCAGGAGATGTCTGTGCTCAGCAGGTATCATAGTTCAAGCCGACCCCCTGTGAAGACTGGACTCTACATGGGTAAAGAGTTGGTTGGGTGCCTTTCTCTGTAGGAGGGGAAGGTAGTCAATTATGTGACAGTATTCCTTGATATCTACCCTGGATTAGGCTTCTTTATTTATTTTGCCACATCCTGAATGTTGTTGGGCAATAACAGACGAGGCTATTTGGTAAAAGAAAATGGAATGTTTTTTTAGTTAAGGTGTGTTTCAAGGGTGAGGCCCGCTGGCTCAGAGGAAAGCATCTCTCTTTTTTCCTTTTTTGCTTACATTTTGTGGCATTAGCCTTTTGGATATTGTAAGAGAGGGCAAGTGTATGTTAAATACTGCAGCAGAGGAGATAAAAGCTTCTTTAAGCTGGTTCGTACTGCATTTCGAAATGTTTCTTAGACTGTGCTGTGAATGACCCTGGTATATTTAGATTTGATTGAAGCCAATTAATCACATCTACTACAGTAAAATGTCTTGTGTGTGCGTACATTCCTCTGTGTTTTAGACTCATCTCGTGTGTGTGTGTGTGTGTGTGTGTGTATTAAAAAGATAGGTCAACCATTTCAGGATCCGTGCAGCCTTTTCTCCCTCCTTTCACTCCCTCCTGAGTGAATGCCCTTTGTTGAGCTGTGCCCTGAGATGCTCCCGCCATCTTAGCTCCTTCGGCCATGACCCACGCTCCTCTCCCCTCCCTCCGTCTCGCCCCCCCCTCCCCTTCTAATTCCCTCTCTCTTCCCCGTGAATTGCAGACTTAGAGAAGGGGATCAATAAAAGCACACTGCATCTTGATTTGACTGGCAGCAGGGCCTCAGCCAGAGCACAGGAGTGTTGAGGCTGCCTGCTTGTGGTTCTGCTTGTGTGTATGTCAGTGTGTGTATGCATAACGATGGGGTTCTTAAAACTGATCTTTCAGCTGAAATGTGGGATTTCTCTTAATATCGTTGCCCTGTAGGTTTTCTTTACTTGGAACTGGTACAGTATTTCCTCAACATTGCTTTCACTCACAATGATAAAAATGTCTTACTTTCTGCCATCTGTCCTCTCGTGTTCAGGTCTGAACTCAAGGAGTCCCCTCAGCGAGACCAAGAGCACCTCCTCGTCCCTCTCAGCCCTCAGCGATTCACTCAACAGCTCGGAGGGCGGAGACCTCACCCACGGTAACGAAGAACTCAGGGGCCTGCTTGCCCCACCCTCCTCTGCAGGCAGCCAGTCCAGCTCTGGAAGCCACTCGGGATCAGGAACTGAGGACAAGTCTGACAAAGGCAAGGAATTGTGGGAACTATTACCAAATACATGAATCATTTTAAAGCTCCTGAAAACAGTATATATTCATGACTGAATAGGCATCAATAAAATAAAAAACACAAGGTATTATTTATGAAGAATATAATTGGTTGGTTGTTTGGGCAGTGGTAATTAACAGTGACCAGCCAGTTCTGAAGAGATGACATTACATGTTGACTTCATTCTCTTAATTGTGTATGTATGCGGCCTAATTAGGCCTGTTCTTAATTATTTTTCCATTGCGTAAGCAATTTTACATATAAACATCAGTTTACTAGCCATGAAGAGTACCACACTCCCTGTGAAAACATATATAATGTCTGCTGTGGCTCTGGAGGAACTTTCTGAAGTCTGTCATCAGTTATCTAAAAAACTGAAAATTTTTGTAACAAACTTTGGGTGTGGAGTTTGAAAGATGTGGGCATTTACCACTTTAAAAAAAAAAAGTTTATGAAAGTGCAATACCAAATCACTGGACTTTAACAGCTGGGGATCTTGCTTATATACTCTGTTTATGTGAGTGGGCATTGTTAAACCTGACTTTGTTCCTGTTTCAAGGATCACTCTGAGATTTCAGCCATGCTGAGTAGAAGACAAATAAAAACTCTTTAACGCCTTGACTCATCCCCTCCTTTTTCCTTCTGTACAGGCTTCGAGTGTGTCTTCTGCAATTTTGTGTGTAAGACGCGTAGCATGTATGAACGGCACCTCCAGATCCACCTCATCACGCGAATGTTTGAGTGCGACGTCTGCCACAAGTTCCTTAAGACGCCTGAGCAGCTGCTGGAGCACAAGAAGTGCCACACCGTCCCCTCCGGAGGGCTCAAGTAAGGAAAGCAAGTACAGACAGAGGTTCCTAACTCCGCCCGTCCTTCCCCTCCCTCACCCCTCACCCTTTCAATTCAACTGCACACAAAAAACACATAGAGTATACACTTTTAGGGACCAATGCTAGGGGTGTGCTGGTCACGACATATTCCCATTCAGCTTCATTGCAATAAAATCAAAAGCTGAAGCTTGCTGGAAATGCGGGTAAATGCATACCACTGTCCAACAGTATGACAAGTGTTGCCCCTGAATGTGCTTCAGGCATCTCACAATTCAAGTGTTATTTTACATGCACCATTTAACTTATTTTATATATAGAAAATGCTGCATGTAAAATAACTTAAAGATACAGAAAGCTGGCTGACATTATAATGGTTGTTTTTTTTTAGAGCCAATTGTAGCAGCCATACAGATGACACCTGTTAACTTCCATTAATAAGTCAGAAACACAGATTCGTGGTCTATTTGAAGATTATTCCAACCATGTGTCCTTAATCAGTTAACCTCACTTTAATGTTCATGATCTGCAGCCAGCAAATGAAATGATACTAGCTGTAGTTTTGCTCGGCAGCCTCTCTTGGCAAGTATAACTTATTAGACAGTGGTCTCTGGGTCTGCAGTGGCTGTTATGAACAGAAGGGAGAGTGGAAAGGAGATGGAAATGGGCTTCGCCTCAGGGTCTGTTGTTCCGCTGCCCACAGCTAACAGCCATGCCAAAGAAAAATATCTGATGAAACCTGCATTCCAAGCTTCTTATTTAGCTACTGCACTCAATGCTGTACTGTGTATTATATCAAATCTGTTGGCACACCCCTAGAAGATAATCATTCAGAAGTGCACACACTCCATAAATGTCAGATCATGTACATTTGTAACATCATAGGCTGGACATTGATACAAACCAATCCAAATGTAACTAATGCATGCTTTAAACTTGTATGCTTACACATCTAATATACAGCATGCATTTTGTGGAAAGACTGAGCCTAATGAAAAGCTTTAAGACATAATGTCCAAACCCTAACACACTGCAGTTTGTATCCCAACACTTCAGACATCCTACATGTGCACATATATAGGAACAAGCACTCATACACATGTATATTGGATATAGTATATCTTATTTGAATCTATCTTGATAAAGCAGCCTTGTTTTTCTAATACTGTTAATGTAGCTCTAGTCCTCTCACATGCTTCCCTCTCCATCTCCATACTCCAGTCCCACAGGAGCCTTTGTTGTACTGTGACACATTTATGTCCCATTTCAGGCCTGTCAAGCTAACATAAAGCCCATCTGTTGATCTAAACATCCACACCACAAACTGACGATGTTTTGATTTTAGGCTGATCATAATAATGTATTTTCACACTGATTCAGTTCTGAGGTGCAAGTTGACAGTATTTTGGATTTTTTTAAAAATGCTTACACATAACAATATTTCCCTAAATATTTAAGATAAAATGCACATTCACTAACACAAGCCATTTATTTTTTATTTTTAGTTATTCTCATAACTCCAGTCTGTGCATGTGCAGAACCATTGAGTATCATTATGATTATCGCCTCATCTTGTCATAAACAAAGATCTGTATTCAACCTTTTTTTCTGTGCAGCCATCAGTGGAGTTAGGATGTCCTCAATTTTGCCAAATGTCTGGAAATGGTAGCATTTTACCAAATGTAAACTAGGAAGCTGCCAACACATTGATGTATATTTTATACAAATCCTGGGGATAACTGAGCACAAACACATAAGAAGCCCCTTCAGAGCTCAAAGATATTCACACAGCATCTTCAGTCACTAACTTGACGATTTGCTGCTAGCTGTAGTGTGTGAGTGAATAAATGTAAAGTAGTTTTTATAACAGTTTTAAATGTTTCCTCTGTCTGGTGTTAATGTTTTTGAAGCCAGATCGATTTCTTACGCTGGCAGTCAAAAGGGAAAGAAACAGGTTTTGGATATTTTAGAAATATATATTTTTATTTTTTGAGGAAGAAAAAGGGAGATGGAAGAACTGAGCTCTTTGATATTTTTAAGTTACATTTATCAGAAGAAAATCTGCTTCAACTCAACTTCTTTGGTGTACTGCTAACATCTGCACATATTGGTTATATTTACAGTTCTTCAAGGTGTACACAGTCTCTTAATTTAATGTTAACTACATTTAAATTTTGCTCTCAAATACAAGCAGGATATGGCCAAACAGGTGTAGTGAATGGACCTTAAGGGCAAACAGGTTTTAGATAAACTCCTATTGCCTACATTTTCTGACCCCCAAGGTCCCGATAAAGGGTTTTTCTAGACCAGTGTGTACACGTGTATACACTTGAGCAATGTGAAGTGTTTCTATATATGCAGGAGTGTGTAGAAAGGGAGAGAGGGCCTTGACCAATTTCGAGGTTTTTCTGAGGTGATTCTGTTCTGCAGGGTTTGTGAAGCGCTTTGGGGCCCAGAGCAGATGAAAGGTGCTATTTAAATGTAAGTGCCACTCCATTCCTTCATTTCCCTTCATGTCCTACTGCTCCAATCTTTTCTCCAGCCTGTCACCCCCCCCTCCTTCCTCCTCCTCCTCCACACACGTATACCTGATCACCTCAATTCTCCCACCATTAAAACTGCCACACATACCACCATGAGCACACAGAACTGTACATGATACACACTTTTCCTTTACCTGTCCTTCTCCTCTTCATCATTTCGTGTTATTAAATTTCAAGGTGTGTTACGTGGTTTTGAATGTACACTTCCCCGTCAACTGTCCTTTGCTTTTGTGTGTCGTGTCCTCCCTCCCTACTTCCCTTTTGTTGCATTACCCAGGTGCCCTTTCTGTATCTACTCCACCAATCGTCCAGCGGCCATGGAGTGCCACCTTAAGACGCACTGTAAGATGGAGTACCGCTGCCGCATCTGCCAGGGACTGTGGCCCGACCAGGCCTCATTGGAGGCCCACATGCGCGGGCACCGCCTGGGCAACCACTACAAGTGTGAGCAGTGTGGCTACTTGTCCAAGACGGCCAATAAGCTGATCGAGCATGTGCGTGTGCACACGGGTGAGCGGCCCTTCCACTGCGACCGCTGCTCTTATAGCTGCAAGCGCAAGGACAACCTCAACCTGCACAAGAAGCTGAAGCACGCGCCGCGCCAGACTTTCGGCTGCCAAGAGTGCCCTTTCACCACCACACACCCCTTTGTCTTCAGCCGCCACCTCAAGAAACACCAGAGTGGAGGAGTGGGGGGAGGCTTAGGAGGAGAAGAAGAGGAGGACGATGAGGAGGCAAGAGAAGAGGAGCTGCCACTCCAGGGAACGTCACCGGGGGGCTCGTTGTTGCGGAAGAGCCAGGAGAACTTCCTGTTCAGCGGGGGAGGAGGGAGCAGTGGAGGGAGCGGCAGTAACAGCCCTCTCATGAGTCTAACGGCATCCCAGGCGCTGCAGTCCGTTGCCCTGTCACTCACACTGGGCAAGTCCCACCAGCTGGACGCCACCAGTCCTCTGCACTGCTTGATCAGCGCCAACGGCAACAACGCCACCAGAAACCCCGGCGGCCCGAGCAGCGGCGGCCCCTCCCTCTTCCTCCCCTCCTCCCGCCACGTGTTCGAGCAGTACAGGAACTGCGACCGGGCGCACCTGATCCCCCTCACCACCCTGTTCACCCACAACAGCCGCTTCACATTCCACTCGCACCTCCACTCCAGATGGCGGCCCGCCACATCTCCTCTCCTCTTCTCCTCCTGCAACTCGGCATCCCCCTCCCGCTCTCCACCCTCACCCACCTCCCACAAACACTCCTTCCTGGCCTACCTGGGACTGATGGAGAGGGCCAAGACTGTTTGACCTCGCCCACCTCCTCTCCTCCACCTCCTCTCTCTTTCCCTCACTCCTCGGACGGTGGTGTGAATGACACTTGACCACTGCAGTGGGAGCAAACGTCTTTTCCAATCAGACCAGCAGAATAAGCTGGACCAGACAAACATATTGAAGAAAAGAAAAAAAAACATTTATAAGAGAAAAAGGCTGTACATGCTAAAAATGCATTTATATCAAAAAGCTGCTTTTCTTATCAGTTCTATCAATTGAATTATTACTACTTCAGCTACTACTCTCTATTACCTTTTTCTTTTCCGTTTTTAAATGTCTGAATGACCTGGACCCAGTTGCATTATCTGAGGAAACTAACGTATCTCAGTTTTATAGATATTTTTCTTTAGTCGTTTGACGAGATAAAAAGTTGAAAAAGACGAAACAAAACTTGCAAGTGCTATATTTTAGTGCATTTTTGTCTCTTGCTATTATGCATCAAAATAGCATGCCTGTTTCTGTGTTTCAACTAGCTTTGACGTCATTAGGAAGCTAAATTCGAGATATCCTGAAGTGTTAGCGGTGCAACGTGGACAGAACCAATGAAACGGAACGCTTTTCATTGAAAAAGGCACGTTTCCAAAGCAACGCCTCAAACCACGCACTTACTTATTTATCAGTCTTGTACATAGTTTTGTAGCCCTTCCCCTTCCCATCTTTTTGATTTCTGTTGGTTTTTTGTATAATGGTGAAACCATATTATGCATGGCTGCTGCTGATATCGCCTCTGTCTCAGATTAAATGTCACTTAAATGGGTTAGTAGCTAGGTTTTTTTTGTAAGCTCACAAAACAGAAGATAAGCTGTGATGATGTAAATAAGGAAAATATTGAATTTGACCTATCAATTACAAGAAACGTTATACATTTATTACTAATAATTTGATTTGAATATCAATGTAAACTGTCGCCAATGAATTTGCACTCACAGGTGAATAAGCAGTGAAATAATGAGACTCGTGATAAAGTGGAAACATTCGTTCATTATTTCTGAGACCAAGTGGATATCAGTGCAGCTTCATATGCAGAACTATGTATCACGCACCTATACTTAGAAGAGATATATGAGATAACTGTTTTGTGGAGGTGACCAGCTCTGGGTTAGCAAGCTACCCACAGCCAGGGTCACCACAGGCCGATTCAATGGTGCTTTTTGGAGCTTTTTGTAATTTTTGTGTACAAAAAAAGAAAAAAAACTGTTCCAAAATGACTTGAATGAATGTATTTTTGTTTATGTACATGAAAATGAAGCGATACAGAAGTGTGAACAGGGACGTCTTCTGTGCTGGACAAGACGGGAAAGTTAGTGTGTTTGGTGGCCTTCTGTGTCTTTCTTTTGGGTTTTTTTTTTGTCTTTCATTTTTTTTTTTTTTTTTTTTTTTACTTTTTTACTGAGCCTTTTACATCATAATAAAACATTTTCTACTAACATTCATAGAGAACCCATTGTAAGGAAAAAAGCTCCTGTAGGTGCAATGATGAAGCAAAGCCATTCACTTGTACAGCATTGTGTTCAATGGCACTGGCTTCTGTTAGGCCGGCAGACATGGTACTGCTTTTTGCGCCCCCCCCCCTTCCCCTTCCCCTCCTCCTCCTCTTCCTCCTGTCAACCTTTTGAGTTTTAATTGCACTTAATGTAGTTACACTTCAAGCCAAAAGCACTTAAACCTTTTAATTTTTCCTTTTTTTTTGTAAGTGCAAACTTAGATCCACCAAGTTACCGCAATGTGAAGTGGACAGTAGTTGCTGGAAATGACTCAATCAACACCCCTTAGTTTCACATGTAGACATTTCGAGCGGTGCAAAAGGGTCTGCCTCTGTGAAATCGGAGAAAGTAAATGAATACAAATTGCATGAATTAGACAGTAGAGGTCAAGCTCTTCCTGGGAACTAAAGGTCCCAGGCTAAATTGTGATGAGCCAATTTTGCACAGTGCTGCACTTTTTGATTAAGAGAATATGTATTTATCCGTAAAATGCTCAAAAAGAAGTATGTTTGTGAAATAGGGCAGCAAGCATTTTATTTTGAAAAAAGCTTTACCCATTATTGATAGCACTTGTGTTTGTAAGTGGTCTTCAAGCCAAAATCCCTTATTTGTAAAGGGATTGTTTTTTTTTATTTTCCTTTTTATGCTTTTCTTTTGTCTGTTTTACTCATGAATTTTCTTATACTGAATCATTGCTTTTTTTTTAATTTTTCTACTTATGTCAGAAAAATGTTGATTGGACAGAGAACATGAATTGTCAAGACCAAAATGTAACTCGCCGCAAGATGTGATGTTAGGATTGAATCCGTCACATCCTGGTGTGGAGCGATGCCTCGATTGTCCCCCTTTACACTGCTGTTTGTTTGTTCCTTTTTGCTCTGTCAATGTCTGGCATGCTGTCTCTAGAGTGAAAGGAGCATCCCTCCAACACACACACACAGACACACACACATCCACACACACTCTCCTTGTACTATCTACGTTATCTTTTATACTCTAGTGCCACTTGGTGGAAGGAAACCACCCGAGACTTCTGAGAATGAGTCAAACTAATTGTCAGGGTCCAAAATAAAAAAACAAAAGATAAAAAAAGGGTGTCCACTTTCGACACCTGTCTAATATGTCTGCCTTTTATTACAGCGTAATCATGAATGGCTGCACTTCCTCATGCCCCCCTCCTCCCCTAGTTTGAGTGTAATGTTTAAAAAGGCAACAGGGCTCTATACTTTAGCAATCCAGTATTCTTAAGCACTAATTCTGTTTATTTTTGCCCAATTGTAAGCAGCACAGCGACCTTATTTTAAAGCTTGACTACCTTTTCAGCACTTCAGAGTATGCATGACATTGCCCTCTCTCTAGTTCTTTAGCACTTAATTGTGTCTAAAACTAACTCCCTCGGTTGCATTTAGTTAGCATCACACTGCACTGTCAACAATCAGTTAGCTTTACGTTTGGCTGTATTTTATGATTAGAAAAAGGCTCAACTATCTTATCTTTTGGCACTCGGTAAAAAAATTGGTATGTGCTGTAAAAAGCTTTTTTTTATTACTCCATTGTTAAGGCTGTACAGGGTTGTGACGATAACTGGTAAATAGATCATTTGTACTTTTTTGGTTTTGTATTTGTTTTCTTTATTTGGCATTATTTTATGTTCAACTTGCCAGATCTAAATGTAACAGGATTTGAAAGTAAAGCTTACATCAGATATTACGTCAGTTGTTTGTCTTTTCTCTGTTGATTTATTTTGATGGCGCATATCACATCTATCTCCCACCTCAATCAGCATTTGTCTCTTATGCATGAACGCGAGCATGAACCTTTTAATTTAAGTATAGTTTCTAGTATTCATGCTACATAAAACGGATTTAATACATTGTGAAAATTTGACTAAATCCTATACTGCGATGTTTATTTGCATGTTTAAAGGTGAGCTACACAGACAATCCAGCCAACTGTGAGCAGGTAGCTATAATATCGCACGTACAGCTGGTGTCACAGCTGTTGGCATTTATAGACTTAAAATATGCAGTAAGCTTATATAATTATTATTATAATTTTATAATACCTTTGTTGTTATTCACCACTGAATATCAAGCCTTATTTAAGTCTTTCAACTTCAATAAACATAATACAGTTCATATAAAGCGTTATGACTGCCGCAGGCAAAATCCTTTAACTTAATTATGCAAAACAAAAACTATAAAAATATACAATATTCATATATATTCAATATAATTAGCTTGAAACTAATTTGGACACAAGTGTAAAATAATTACAAAAAAATATCGTGACAATTCAGTTGCACTTAAGGTCAATAAACAGTATTGAATGTTGCCCATCCTAATAAGGATCCTCATATTCAAAACAACAACAGTACAGTAAACAAAGGCTGCGTTTACACTGCAGGCACAAGTGGCCAAAACCTGATTTCTTTGCTCATACGTGACTCAGATTCTGTTTTTGTTTTCATAACGATGTGAACAATAAAAATCACATGCAATCGGCTCTTTTCCAATTCTGATTTGGCCCACTTTCACATGTGGTCCAAGTCAGTTACAGATCGGATTATTTGTAAAGCAACCTCAGTGTGAACAGTCACCAGAATTCATTCAATTTTTGTCATATGTCACAAACCTGCACTGGCAGGAGTCACCCAGTAAATACAAATGTGAAAAACAGTGAGATGTTAGACCTCATAGCTATTTGGGATCAAATCATAACCTGTCTGTGTGTGCTCATCACATCTACACACACCTCCGTACAGAGGTAGCAGCCACTGCTCCACAAAAAGCCATGATTAACAATTGGGCTCTCTGTCTTGTTATCATCTGCTCTCAGCTCTCACTAGCTTCCACTGCACATCAACTTGTCTTCAGTGTTGTCCGTGCTTACCACTCTACAACAGCGCGCTGCCTGCGATGTGTTGTTGTGTCTTTGCACATGTGGGTCAGTTCAGGACCACGGCCTGTTCACACTGGAATCTGATATGGGCCACATTTAAAAAAAAACAATGAATAGCCAAACAGAAAAATCTGTTCTGAGCAATGAATCAGAAAGCTTTGGTGCCTATTCAATATTCCTCTCAGACAGAATAGTAAGTACAGACATAAAAAATAAAGACAAAGAAATCAAAAGCATGTTTCAGACCAGTAAGCGCAGCAGAAAAGATATCATTCAGTGGGGAGACGGGGACAAGAGTTTAGGAAAAGCACTGATCATCTTTGAGGGACACAGCATTCTCTAATTTATAACGATGGCGTGCCATCATAATAATAAGGAATAGGATCTGTCATGGTGTCTAGCTGGTGTTTTTATTAGACCGATGGGAGGTCTCTCTCCCTCTCCTTTCTGTGTTGTAGTAATGAAAGTTACAGCACGTTCTCGCCCAGCCAAAGGTTGGCCCTGCCTAATGAAAACAGATGAAGCAGAGATAAAGTGTTTGCCGACATTAAGGGACTCATTTATCACCGTTAGCCCCCGAGCTATAGAACACCTTGGTCTGGAGCTCTCCTTTAACAGGCCCTGCCTCACAGCACCCTGGTGGCACACTGCAGACTTCCAGGCACATGAACGCCTCCATCTTTACCCCTCTTTCTCTTTCAATCGGATCTTGCATAGCTTTAACAGATAATATCACTGTTCGTATCCCTATTTGAACGCTGTCTCGTCCGCACCATTTATATAAGTTAGAGTGAGCTTTTGGCCGTGTTTTTTTTTTTTTTTTTTTTAGAGGAACCTTTTTCAGATCTAAAGGATTTGGCAGTCCTTGCGGGACCTCCATCACTGCGACCTCAGAGTTGACCCATGTGGGTTCAACAGCCATCCGAAGCCGAATCTCCTCTGTTGAAGGGCCATGTTCTCATCTAGCTGCTCATCTTGCCTGTGTAATAATGAATCTTTTCGGCTGTGTTTAAAGCTGCTTAATTAAGTTCAAAGCAGCGCTCGGGGCACTGTGCGCCTGCTCATCTGACCTCCCTATGAGTGGAAGTGTTGATTAGGAAGTGAAGAGACATGCAGGCACTGCAGGGGATGGCTATTGATTGAAGGGATAGAAAACCTCATTTGGATTTTGTGATTGGAATATCGCACTGTACACGGGGGCTGTTTTTCTTCATTTGGCGAATAACAATAACTCCATTCCTGCGCTGACAGTTTGGTGGAATCTTCCACTAAGTGAAGAATTTCTGTGATAAGACTAAACGCCGGAGTTTTCCCTCATCCCAATAATAGCCCTTCACCCCGGCCCGAGCTGTCTGCACAATGTCGACCTTTCGACACCACCTCGCGAAAGTTGGCCGCTGCCGATCGATAGCGTGTTAGCTTTTTGTTTGAAGGTTCAGGCTGCCTTGGCTTTATTACAGCTGCTGAGAGTCATGGGGGAGTCGTGCACGGCTTTGTGAGAGAGGAGCTCCCTCTTGTTTGCCAAAAGTGTAATCCCGCCGTGACCCGCCGTGACCCTGCCCTGAGAGGAAAGCTGCTTAGACAGAAGTGCGTGTCTATGGGAGCTCCCAGCTGCCTGGCCTCTCTCTGTCTCTCTTTTTCTCTCTATTTTACTCTCTACATCTACCTCACACTCCTTTTTTTACCTTCTTTATAGCTCCATATACCATACATCTTTCTATCACACAGACTCTCTCATTTTGCCCCTTACTCTACACTCTCCGTTTCTCCCCTGCTGTTTACCTCCTCATTCTTCTCTGCCATTTCATTTCAGCTTTTTTACAGTAAACGCCATGCAGGCTTCACTCAGCATCAAAACCTCCAAGACCCCCCTCCCACCCTTTCCTTTTACCCTGTGAAGGAGCCGGGGCTTTGCTAAGTGGAGACAGATCTCCTTTTTTTTTTTTTTTTGCTCCAACAGAGAAAACAAACACACAAAGTCCTGCCATAGACGGCCTTCAGTACGGGCTACAGAGCAGGACCACTGGCACACGGGAAAGAGAAAATGAAGGAAGAAAATGACCTCTGGAATCGATTTGGCATGGGTTGAAGCCAGGGCTAAAACTGCGCGGAATAAGGCTCCGCTGAGGCTGCTTGTTGATTCATAAATCTATTCATCTTCGGAAAAAAAAATTAGGCACCGAAATGATTTGGTGAATATGAAATTCCATGTTTATTCAGTCCTTAATGGTGTGTAGACTTTGTACAAGTCTGCACAGGCTGCTGGAAATACATGCAGTTGTATGCAAAGCTAAAAAAAACAAAGATGTCAGGTTCAAGTCTGTGCAAAAAGACAATCCACACCTGAGGTACCTGAGAGAGATGATCTGCAGGCTCGTGTGGTGTCACTCATTTGCCTCTCTTGAGATGGGTTGGACACGCATGGTGGGACATGTATTTACATGCATGTTTGGTGCCCAGCCCAGGGGCATAGCATCACTGCCTGCCCGGCCCCCCGCTGCTCCCGTTCCCCGTTCTCTGGGGTGAGACATCACTCGGCGGGGGTCAGCAGCAATCTGATTCAAGAAACACTGCAGGGGGTGTTTAGGGAGGGGAGGAATTACCCACAAGTCCCTGGGCCTGGCATATCCAGACTTAGGGCAGCCTGAATCAGCAGGAGGGGGGCAGATCATACCCCCCTGCTGGGTGCTGCTTCAAATATAAAGCTACTGCTTGGCCACTCCAACTGGATGACAAACACATTATAGAAGAGAGGAAGGGGAGGAGGAAGGGGAGGCTGGTAATGGGCAGAGGGAGAGCAGCTCTACTTAAGTATGATCATGTCTTTGAAACAGATAGGACACGAGCCAGCCAACTCGCCCGTTGTTAGGCTCTGCTGTTACCATGGCATTCTTTGACAGTCACCAGCCATAGGTTACTTGGTTTCTATGGGTAACAGTTGGCACTGCACTTCATCACATCTCCTGTGACACTACAGCTAAAGACATTGCCCACCGATTCTCAGCTGTTACCAGTAAAAACTCTTCTGACTGAAATACAACAAGATGGTAATTTTGAAATATCTACGCGCGCGTTGTTATGGTTTTTTTCCTGTGAGATGCAATGATTTCAATGATTCAAGTCTGCTGAGATCTGAAGTGAGGAGATTTGGTTAGAAAGAGCTTAACAGACTAGCCCAAGGTCAAGCCCAAACTAATCAGGCTCGTCATTTCCCTGGATGGAGTAATGAAGTAGAACGCTGACCTCTGCTTGACCCTGGGAATCTGTAGCAGGGAAAACCAGCCTAGAGACCAATTAGCCAAAAAGTAAACGGAAATATTAAAACAGAGCGCTCATTTATTAATAAATATGATCTGAGTCACCCAAAAAAGCAGCTTCAAAGCACTTAAATGTGCCTTTATCTGAAAAGAAAGGTTTGATGTCTTACACAGGGCTGCTGTGAAACCTTAAATAGCAGGATAACAAGCTCCTTTTAGTCCGTATCCTAAAGATGATTTGTACCGAGGGTTGATTACAACCTGGTTAGCTCTCCTAATTATCTTGTGCACTTGAGCTTTTAATGATTTCCATGATTCAATTATCTCTAACTGAATTCCTGTCTTCAATCAATTAAAGCCATAGCTGCACACTCATCCATCTTCCAATCAGGACATCGGGAATCCCTCCATCCATTCTCATTTGAGAAGAGAGTGGGTCAAACAAATTAACAGAGATCGCATCCATCCATGTCTTTTCATCTTTTTTTCCCCACATTTTCCAATCTTTTTTTCTTACTTTTACTTTGTTACTCTCACATGTCGGCGAAGATT